TGTGTGTGTGTGTGTGTGTGTTTGATTGCTTGTCTCTGTCAGTGAGTCTGAGGGTGTGAGGTGGTGGGGTAAGCTCCGATTTCGTCAGCCAGTATACATAACTCGCATCAAAGGAACGTTACCATTGAGGATGATTGGTGGGTGCTCTGGTGTGGTTTGCTCCTTCTTTCGTAGCAAACATCCGTCCTTGTCTTTTGTATTTGTTACATTCTTGCAAAACTTCTAATCTCTAGCACTTCTGAGACCTTATTGTGTTGCAAGTGCCGTAAAACACTTACTTAAACTAAACGAACGTTACCTTACTTTACTTACTTGTATTACAGCCCCTAAGCGGCAGACGCCCGAGCTGCCCAGGTGTAAACCGCTGTCACGTGACCCGAGGCTCCGCCCACCAGTGAACCACATGGCTAACACCTATTGGCGCTACCACGACCCTCATTTCTGGCTGAATCAGTCCACTCTACCTGCTGATGCCAATGTGCACAAATACAACTGGTTCAGTATGTACCCCTGGGCCTATCTTCTTCTTCTTCTTTTCCTTCTCCTTCTCCTTCTCCTTCTCCTTCTCCTTCTTCTTCTTCTTCTTCTTCTTCTTCTTCTTCTTCTTCTTCTTCTTCTTCTCGGGTGTAAAGAACAAAACAAACGAAAGCTACATTAGAATTAAAAAACTCCCGTCAATCTGATGGTCATGTTGTGCACAAACTATCCAGTCCGCTGTGGTTCATTTGAGACTACTGCACACTGCACAGCGTTCTCTCCATTGGTGCAGCATTATTATTGCCATTAATATTATTATCTGTGCCCTGGGAGATAAATGAAGCGGGTATAGTAAGCATACTGCAGGATAAGGTGGCTGTTCTGTGACCCCTATCCACATTGGCATTGTCATAGGGATGTTTCTCCACACCAAAAGAGAGATACTTAATAAACACCCCCTACCCAACCGCGCCTAGTTTGGACCTTCAGTGGGACGTAATAATTTAACTTGGTTATTATTGTTTGGGTTCGTTTCCAATAACTTGAGTCTTGAGTCGATATTTAGGGAGTCTCACCTCTTAAAAATACAGTACTGTGGTTACTTAGTTTGTTATTAGTAACCCCTAAGAGCAAAAAAGCGCTGCGGAATACAAACGTATTCAAAATACAGTTGAATCCCATGTAACCGCCACTTGTATAAGGCAATCACCTGTACAAACGGCTACTTCCTGCTTCCCTTCTTGCTTTAAAAAAACAACAAAAACATACATGTCTAAGACGACATTCTCCTCGACATTGGATGGTCGTCTTAGACAAGTTTAACTGCACTAACATTAAATACTTGTACTTGCTCCTGTTACAGAGCGTGAGATGGAATCCGTAAACAAAGAAAACAAGTGGAAAAACGAAATGAGGATACGCGAGTGCTATGACCAGCTCAAAAGAGACGAGAAACGACAACAGCTCAGTGCAGAATTACAAGAAATGCAAAGAGCGCTGAAGGAACAGCAAAAGAAAGCGTCGTTTAATAACCCTCTGGATACAAGGAAATTGTTGATGGAATCCGGTTCCATCGAGTACAAGCCGTCAAATTCTGTCACGCCCAAGACCCCAAGCACGCCAGCGTCACCGCCTGGGGAGATAGAAGAGGATGAACCTGTTGTAGAACACTAAGAAGAACCACAGTTTTTGTTTTAAAATGTGATAATCTTTTGGCGTTTGGTCATGTAGTACATCGACATGCGACCACCAATGGTGTTTGGTCATGCCGTGCAGTACATAAAAATGTGACCATTAATGACGTTTGATCAAGCAGTTATACATTTTTAAAAAAGACAATCAGTGGCATTTGGTTTTGTAGTACTAGTACTAGTACATCAAAATAAGATCGCCAATGGCCTTTGATTATGCAGTACATCAAAATGAAACCAACTTGGCGTTTGAGCGCGTTCACACATCATCAATATTATTGCAACAGTCAGTGAAGCTTCAATATGTACATTGTACATATTATACGTTTTATTGTAACAATCAGTGGCGTTTGAACATGTATTTACATCATAAGTATACACAGTCATTGAAACTTGAATGTGCACGTAGGCCTATATCATAATTGTACCCGCCAATGGCGGAGAGTGAAGGCATACGGCATCAATCATGAACATGTATAACATGCCGTCTGACAACAACCGGACGCAACAGATTAAAGGGACATAACCATAAAATTCTGATCTTGCTTGAAATTTTCGTGCATTACATCCTCAACTCCCTCTCTCTCACCAAACACTGTTATGTAGATCTAACTTGATTCTTATTCTGATGGTTAAGCATACTATTGACTTAACATCCATTTTAGTACTGAGACCTTTCTCTCTCTCTCTCTCTCTCTCTCTCTCTCTCTCTCTCTCTCTCTCTCTCTGTCTCTCTCTCTTTCTTTACTGCCATCTGCGGTGTTGTGGTAGGCACTCCTCCTTTGCATGTATTAGACAGCTGTACAACCAGTAAGACAACCCTTCCGTGGATCCTGGAGAGGAGGGATCGAGGAGCAGCCATGGCATTGTACCTTCTGCGATGATACCTATTTTCCAACCAAGTAACCAGTAATGTATGAGACACGAATTCCATTCCCTAGTAGGAAGAATTCCGCTTGAACATTGCGTCCCTCTCCTCGACAGCCCAGGTTGGCCCTGACAGTGGCAGGGTTGGAGCAGCCCGCCTCCTAAATGACCTAAAAGGTGTCAATGGAGTTGTAAAACTTCGGAAATTACATACTCTCTCTCTCTCTCTCTCTCTCTCTCTCTCTCTCTCTCTCTCTCTCTCTCTCTCTCTCTTTCTCTCTTTGTATCTCTGTATCTCTCTTTGTCTATCTGTCTGTCTGTCTGCCCCCCCCCCCCTCTCTCTCTCCCTCTTTCTTTCTTTGTATACGGTGGCGTCGGTGGCCAGTGGTTAGGCTACCGGACCCGTAATCTTGAGATTGCGGGTTCGGGGCTTTGAGCATCAGCTCGGTCTTATGTTGTGTCCTTGGGAAAAGCAGTTTACATGAAATTCCCATTTGGCTCGGTCCTTTCGAAGATGGACGTTAAACTGGGAGGTCCCGCCTCTTAAATAACCTAATAATAGTGTTGATAGGGGCGTTAAACCGATACTATTTCCCATCATTTTCTCTTTGCCTCTTTCTCTTCCTTTCCCGCTCTCTGTGCAAAGTACTATCTAGGCTGGTACATGCGTGTTATTGTGCTTGGCTATGAAGCAAATGGCCTAGGTTCAAATTCCCAATGGATCGTTCTTGAACTACAGATGTTTGGGATGTGTTGTAAGGTTGTCCAACTAACGTCTGTGGTGTAATGTTCAGACACTTTGCTGTCGCACGAAGGAGACCCAAGTTCGAATCCTGAGCGGGGCAAATTTTTTTATCGAGTGTCTCGGTCTTTCTTCTGATATGTTGTTACTTCTCAGCCCAGGTTGGTCCTGGCAGGCAGGGTCAGAAGCCCGTCTCCTAAATAATCTAAATAGTAGGAAAAACGCCTAACCTACATGAGAAAAAAAGGTTGCCCATCTACTTGTATTTGGATCTGTTCTATTGGATAAGAACAATGGATTGGAGGCCCCGTTTCATAACCGTACAGTGTTGAAAGATCTGTTAAACCCATACCACCTTCTTTCAGTATCTATTACTGTTATTCTTTAAGCTTTAGTAAGAGTTTTACGCCACTTGCAACACAATAAGATCATATAAGGGTCGAAAATTGGAGGTGTTACAAGAGAGTAACAAACACAAAAAGAAGGAGAGATAAGGACGATAGATGTTTGATAGGAAAGAAGGAGCAAACCCCACCAGAGCACCCGCCAACCACCCACTACTGTTATTCACGAGGGCATCATATTGTTGAGCTTGCACAAGAGTGCTTTCTGCACTAATGGCATTTTTTAAAAATCGCGATTACACAATGGGGCTATCTTAATAGGGAGTATAATTGACAGAGAGGGAGGAACATGTGCCAAAATAAAGCCCCACTTTGGAAAAGCTGCTTCCATATCTTTGAATAGGATTTGGAAGACCAGAGATATCTGACTTCGAACAAACCTGAGGATTTTCAATTCAAATGTGAAGTCAGTCCTGTTGTATGGATGTGAGACATGGAACGCATCACCAGACTTGCATGAAGAGAATCCAGGTTTTCTTGAACAAGTGTCTAAGAAAGTTACCGAGGATCAGCAGATGAACAGACGAGACAGGGTCACCAAGGAGGAAGTATTTTTTAGGAAAACAAGACAGATCCCAGTCGGAGATGAGGTAGGAAGAAGGCGGAGGCGATGGATTGGACACACTCTCTGGAAGTCAGGCAGCTGCATAACAAAGAAAGTGTTGGATTGGAATCCACAGGGTAAAAGATCAAAGGGAAGACAGCGTGGAACCTTGTGAAGAATCACAGAAATTGATGTACAGAAAAGTGGGAAGACATGGAATAACATCAAGAGGCTAGCCCAGGAAAGAAAAAGGTGGAAAGAGTTTGTTCGTGGCTTATACCCTGGCGCAAGGTGAGAAAGGCAATGATGACGACACAATGGGGCATGTTTACATTTCACATTCTTGTCATGATGTGACTCCCTACGATCATTTAGCATCCCCCCTCCCCCCCCCCCCCCAAAAAATAAAGATAAAAAAAATAACAAACAATAAACAACCCCAACACACACGCACACACATACACACACAAAACAAGACAATAAGCTCTGACAAATGAGACGGCAGAAGATGGCAAGATAAGCAGGGATTCAGACAGACATTCAAAAAGAAAAGCGTCTTATCTTTTATGAAGATAAGACCTGGTTGTAGATTACTTAAATCTTAAACTTTCTTCAAGAAAAAATTAATGCAGACACATAAGTTTTAATCAATATAATATTTATTTCAGCATGGTAACAAGATAAGGCTTCACTGAAAAGATTGTAAAAAATATCTACCGAATTGACAGGTGAAAAATGTTGATTGTCAGACTACCACTCACAGTGATACAGCAAGTTAGTACACTCATCATACTAGATTCTAAGCATTTTTCATTTTGAAGTAGGCCTATCATCTCACACAAACAAAAGTGAAGATGTTCATGTACATTTCTGCTATGTTATAATGTTTTGATTGAAAAAAGTCGATCACTGATAGCACACTTTCTCAGGATGATAAAATACACAACCTATTTCTTTGGAGCCCAATAATGCTACGGTAAAAATCTCTTTTTGGAATTCTAGGGCCCAAAATATAATTTATCAAATATGTGGAAATAAGATGGTGACAAATTACATTTGAAGGAAGTTACAATTACGGGGACAAAGTCAAAACCAAAGATTGTTGCCTTGAATGAAGGAAATAATAGTAGTTGGGTTTTTTTGTTTCTTTTTACAAGAGCTGGAGACCTCTAGGTAAAATAGAACCTAGCTCTTAGGCAATCCAACATTTCAGTGTAAGGGTGCTATCAGTTTAACCATTTGACTTGGTGCTCAAAATCATGGTACAGAAAAAGTTAATACGACCATTGGCTCTGTCCAGTGAACACACCAGGTGTTTATTTGTTATTTCATAATTCACCACCCTTTGGTTGAACAGAAAAAAAATGACCACAAATGAGGCCAATCGTTAAAGCCACTTTGATAATGTGAGGGAATGTAAACAAATTTAATAAAAGTGAACAGATAAAAATTGTGCAAGTCGTAATATAAGTTAGTTAAAGCATCAAATAAAAATTGAAGTAATCATATAGTGTTCACGCAAAGCAAACAAAGAAAGGCATGAAAGACAGTGAAAATTTCAAACAATATCGAAACCATAAAACACACTTGATAATACTGATTTGTGAAATAATATAATAATAAATGAAGGCCAGTAATACTGAAGCGTTCCTCTCAAGTGAATAAAAAGCAATGTGGAGATTAGATTAAACCATTGGTATGTAGAATGGAACTCGGATTCAACGAGGTCGCCGGGCCTGACCTAAAATCTCGTTGAATCCGAGTGTTCGTTATAGCAAAAACAAGGTTATGTGTAGATAATCACACAGGCACTGAGCAAGTAATGTATAAAGAGAAGTCACAAGTAGTGCCTGAAATGCCTGCATATTATGAGCTGTGTAAGAAAACGACCCGATTCGTTCAAATCCACACGCCTATGTCATCTCGATTGCTTACCAAAAAGTTGTGTTGCTGTGTGGAGCCTAGCATAGGGCAACTTTTGATTCCATAGACCAGCGCACAATTCATTACGTAGATCTATGTCAAGACTAGTTTTTATCATTGTAATAATGATCAGTTGCCAAGGGGAAAAGACAGACTGACATGTTTGTATCTGCGACATTCAACGCCCGCAAAGCTAGTGCCCCCCCCCCCCCCCTCCCGACACGCACACACAGCCATACGTGTGCAAGCCGCCCATCCGACCCCGACACACTACAGAGTAGACACGTGCGCGTGCCAACCATGCATGTGTTGCTATGAAAAAAAAGGCTGCTGATTGGTCGTATGCAATCGTCTAAGTGAATAATGGTTCACAATGCAGGTGCAATTGATGGTTTCCGGGAATAGATAAAGTTTGTTCTGGGAGAAAAATGAGCAAAGCCACGTCTGCGGGGGCTGTTCACCCTGAAAGCGACCTCGTTGAATCCGAGCCCGCTGATTTAAGTGCTCATTGAATCCGGGTTATTTCTATTGATTTTAAAGGAAAAAAAAAAACGGGGAATCTATCTCATCTCGTTGAATCCGAGTTCTCGCTGAATCCTAGCTCGTTGAATCCGAGTTCCACTGTAATACTTAAAGCATAAATGTTTTTGTTTTTCAAACTGTAAAAGCAGGAGCTATAATCAGCAAAGTATTTTATTTTATTTTGTTATGATAATGCAGTTTCCGTGAGATGACACTTGACATCTTATATTTTTTAGACGACAGAAAACTTTTTGTGTGTGCCACTCCTCCACCCATCCACAACCCCTTATATCACCACCAATCCTTGTTTTCCGCAATATTATTTGATTGCAAGATTCAAAATGAAATTATTATATCATGATTGAGGAAACACATTTTCAAAAGCAAAGGAACTGGATGGAAGCAAGGAAAAAATACACAAAATTCTTATTCTCCAAGCATCTAATCAAATTTCAGATTCTGGACTCTTTGCTTATACAGTTTTGTGCAATTATCAAATGTCAAACTTCCATCAAGACGGCTTTTGTTTACTGAAGAATTCAGGTATCCTGCTATATTATACACTGCAAAACTCAAGCAAGAATAAAACCACTCAAAGAAAATGCCCACAACCCACAAAATATTCATTACATTACATGGCACACATCTAGAAAGAATAGAATAGAACCCAACCCAAGAGAGGAGACACCTAGATTTATATAAAAAAATCTTTGTCCTGAACACCATTTTCCAGGTATTAATTATTCTCAGACTCCTTAAACTTTCACTTCAGAGTAATTCTTATCCTCTTACAGAAAGAAAAAGAATAATTAAATGCAATGACAAGAAAGGGTAAACAAAATGAAATCATTTCAGATTCTAGAGTTTTCTTCAACAAAACAGAGACCCACTCTGAAGGCATAGTAAAGAAAAAGACAATTATTTTATAGTACGAACAAATTAATTCTAATGCAGTTTTGTTATTCCAATGACTATGTGAGAGAAGAATTGGCGTATCAGTGCTTGTTTTCCAAAAATTAGGTGAAAGTAAAAAACTAATACAAATAACATATATAATTATTATGTGACTAGCAAAAAACCTAGCAGATTTAAATGATATATGCCGTTAGACAAGCAGGGAGTGAACTGTGTACTGCTAATGTGCTTTATTCTCTTTCTCTTGGATAAAATAAATACAACAAAAATTATTTCACTAACAATCATTCTGATCATTGCAGCGTTTATTTAGTAATATGTAATACTGTTATAAAAATGTAAATGCTTTTATTCATTAAAAATATTGCAACTTTCAATAGTAATGGTGCAGTGGTATTACTATTGTGCAAAATTTACTACTAATAAAGATTGTACATTCATTTCTGAGCCAATTTTTTTTTAAGCTGGTGAGAAGTCCGGTCTTGTTTAAGATTCCTGTTCCAACACAAAATAGCCTCTATAGCGACCAAAGCTGATGTAACTCTACAGGCTGAGATGTCTCCTCTTCGTTGATGTGTAAAGCATCACAGAAATCTTGACGGAAACCAGTCTGCCTGGATTCTTAAGACTTGGTGTCTGCTCCGAATTTTTCCACCCAAGCTTTCCTCCAGCGTTGCTCTTTCACGTTAAACTCGCCCCAGTTACCTGGAAGAAGAAAAAGCACCACAACAAACCCCACTTATTTGCAATAGATTTTTTATCTATAACTTATATAACTATAACTATAAGCAGAGTATGTGATGGCTCATTTTGTGATAACAGGACAGAGTAGTGGAACAGAGAGAGACAGAGAGTGAAAGAGAGAGAGAGATAGAAAGAATGAGAGAGAGAGAGAGAGAGAGAGAGAGAGAGAGAGAGAGAGAGAGAGAGAGAGAGAGAGAGAGAGAGAGAGAGAGAGAGAGAGAGAGAAAGAGAAACAGAGAGAGAGAGAGAGAGAGAGAGAGACAGAGAGAGAGAGACAGAGACAGAGACAGAGAGACAGACAGACAGAGAGAGACAGACAGACAGACAGACAGACAGACAGACAGACAGACAGACAGACAGGCAGGCAGACAGGCAGGCAGACAGACAGACAGACAGACAGACAGACAGACAGACAGACAGACAGACAGACAGACAGACAGACTGACAGACAGACACACAGACAGACAGATAGATAGAGACAACCCTTCGTACACAGACGTGGCAGAATGTGACTCCCCTTGAGAGAAAGCTCTATGGCAGTCTCTCAGATTTGAAGCAGACTGCACAGTCTGTGCGTGACATCAGACTAACTGTCTAGCTGCTGTCATTGAGAATGAGGAAGAAGAAGACAGAGACAGAGAAAGAGAGACCGGATGAGAAAAAAGAGATTGGCAGTGAAATGAAAAGGGGGATGGGAGGGGGGGGGGGGGAGGGAGAGATCTTAACAAAAATAGAGAAAAAAGGGAATTTGAATAAAAAATGACAGGCTACAATAAGTCGTCAACAGTCAATGACCAAATCAAACTGACCCAACAAGGAATTTTTTTCACGACAGCTTATCACTACATAAACTGGTGTAAATGAAACAATAACTTTTTGTTATCACAAAGAAATCATCAACATCTGAGCCAGGTAAAGACATGAAATTAGGTAGCTTTTTTTTTTTTTAGTTTCTTCAAAAGTAATAAATGACCTGGGTTATGATCACAGCATGTAGATGATACTGCTCAAATGATTTAGGATGAGAGGTGAAACAGAAGGAAGGATAGACAGAAACGGGAGGATAAAGAGACAGAACGACAACAACAATACACAATGCACATACTAAGCCAGTCTCGCTTCATCTTGAACATTTGCTTTTCCAAGTCCTTCTGGTTGTCCCAGACAGCCATATTGTGGTTATCCTTGTATTCGCTGACAGTATCACTGTTGCTGTACCCCGGCATGGTGGAGATGCGCAGGAAGCGGGAAAGCTCGGTGTAGTCGTCGACCGGTGGAGTAAAGGGGGGAACTTCCAGCATACACAACGGCCTTGCTGGGGTCCTCATGGTCTTGGACCCTCCTGGGGTCTGTGGGTGACACAACAAAACAACAAAAACAAATCTATTACCAACATGTTACAAAAAGCATACTATTATCAAAGATAGTATACCCTACGTAGGGTATATAGTATCTTTGCTATTATCTAACATCCAAAAAAGGTCAGTTTTTAAGATGTCAGGCATTCCTTTCCAGTGAAATGCGGCATTCCTTTCCAGTGAAATGCGGCATTCCTTTCACATTTGATCATATTTACACTATTTTTCCTGAGACGTACATTAACTGCGCACACTGGTATAAAAAATAAATAAACCACCTTGCACTGAAAATTTCATGTAGGCCCTACTGTCGTCATTATGCCACAAGAGTATAATGTCACTTCTTTTGAGAACAAACAATCAACGTATGAAATTCAACTTCCTGATAGCAAAATTTGTAAAATCCTTACAATGTTAGTGTAATCTAATAGAGGTATAAAATTTTTTGTACTCACATCTTCATATAGGCCTACATTGTATCAAGTGAACACAAATATCGCTATCACAGATTGATGGAGGAGCAAAAAAACAATGAGATAATGAAACAAAATATTTTTAACGTATGGTTAGTTACAAAAAAAAAACAATCTTTAACGATTAATAGGGATATTTTCTTTCATCCTTTGTACACACACAAAAAAACTATTTTTAAATACACCGATGAAAAAAAATGCATCTCCTTAATAAAGCTAGATATAATATGCCAGAACAAAATGAAACATTTCTCATCAAAGCGCAAATACAACAAAACGGAGAAATGTAGCCAACATTCTCATAAATGAATATGTGCATGAATAGTGAGTTTCACAGAGAAATATAATCAAGGCAACAAAAATTCAGCTATTGATAACATCAATAAGAAAAGTAAAAGGTTGAGTAGGGTTTTTTAAAATGAAGCCACAAGAAAGATCAATAGGCCTACCAAAACAAAATGTTTGAATGCAAATGAAACAACTCCATAGTTTCACAATTTTAACTCTAAACTTCACCAAATTCAAAATAGGGTAACGACTTTCCAACTGTCCATTGTTTTTGCCACGTTTTCTTCTCTCAGCCCCATCTGAAGTATCACTCCTAGTCGGATCTCTCATTCCAACAAGTCTTTGTTCTTGTGCTATAAATTCCTGTCGCTCTTTCCTTTTCATTTCCTTTCTGGCCTCCTCCAAGCATTTTCGATTGTATTCAGCTTCCTTTTCTAATTCAGGTCTGCCATATAAAATTTGCTCATGCATCCGGAAAGGACACTGTCCATTCTTGCATTGTCCAGGAAAACATCCCCCTGGACACACAGGACGAGGGGGGCAACCAGTTTTTGTTGAGCAATAGATTCTTGGATGTTTTAGGTGGGAGGAACACCTACAATCCTTCATGGTTCAAGAGCACAAAAAAAAAGAGAAAGATCAGGTCTCGCACACAGTAGCTTAGATTTTTACAGTGTTATTCACATTTAATTAGTAAAAAATGTATCTAATATATTCATCACTCTTCTTACCTAATAATTACATAAGGTAGGCCTACTGTGTTGATACAAAGCAATTTCCAGATGTAAGTAGGCCTACTGTCAACCTATTCTAATGGCTGTATAAGACAACCAACTGTACAAACAGCCACTTCCCATCCCCCCCCCCCTCTTGTGCTTTTATTTACATTATAATGACACTGTGTAAAACATTTGTCTAAGATGGCCAGTTTTCTCCACAATAACAGATGGCTGTCTTTGACAATATGTTGGGGGGGGGGGGGGGGTTTGGAAGTGTTTTACGGCACACGCAACTACATAAGGTCATATGAGTGAGCGCTTGGGACACATTAAACATTTTCAGTTGGTAGGAAATTTTTAATTTTGTCCGGGTGGTGACTGAAGCCTACTCTTATCAATTTTGAACTAGGGAATCTTTAATGTGCGCAACTTGTACTCCAAGATTTTCCGCCCTTATCCGAGAAGGCTAGGTGTTAGATCTTATTTACCATAAGACCTGGGGTGTAGCTGAAAGATAGCAAAAAGAAAAAGCCAAGGAGTAGCAGTAGAAGGCTGCAGAAAGATTCAGGAGCTCAGAGGAGGGGGGCAAAGGATGTGAGGGGGTGGGGACAGAAGAAAGTGGAGACGAAAGCAAATAAAAGAACATTGTTAAAGAGCAGGAAAGGAGGAGGACAGGAAAAACTTTAGAGAAGAAAATTTGCCATCGCTGTCCCGATACGAACCTGGGACCTATTGAAAGAGAGGCGAACATCATAATCTCTTGACCTTGAGAGCCCCTTGACAATATCTACTGTAGTTTAGGAAAAGTAAATAAGTTGCCATTTTTCTCTCCTTGAGGAAAGTTGTTGGTGGGTGTATTTGGCTTTTCTTTTGAAGTGTCTGTGATGTTTTTATTCAATCTAAACTCTCCCTTTAATTCTAAAATGATAAGAGTTGGGTACAAAAGCAGATCTATACTAGCATATTTAGCATGGAGCATAGAAATGTTACGTGACAGTTACGACTACTAGATCACGTCTACTGCCGAAAGGGGCGTCAATATCTTTCTTTGCTCAAAATCAAAATCATTTAATGACCTTAAATTGCACCTTCTATGTGCAAAAATACAAGAAAAGGAATGATAAGATTATTGCATAAGATTACACGAGTCTAAACAAGAAGGTTCAATCATATTGCTTGATCATTTCCTCGCATGATCTTGAAATGTTAAATATTACTGGTGGGTGGAAAAGAGGCTGAGTGTACAGCTAATGGCAAAAGTCAATGCGGTCATGTAACTCCTATTTGAATAGAATCCCCATACAGACCAAGCCAATGCAAATACATACTACTTAGTACATCTGCCTTGTTAATTAGTCGTTAACAATTTTTTTGAATGAGAATTGATCGGTCATTTGGTCTGACCTGTTCCTGGACATTAATCAGACCTTTCTCTGTGGAGTAAGCTTACGTACACTCCATGTAGGCCTACTTGTGCGGCATTGCGGTGAAGTCCGACACTCATCAAAATAATCAAATCAAAGACACCAACCTTTTTCCACCCGTTGGGCAATTTTTATTACTATTTTTAAAGTTATTTAAAAATTGTTTAATCTTTTTTTTTTTTTTTGGGGGGGGGGGGGAGACAAACACAAAAACATAGAAAAAAGGCAAAAGATGTATAATTTGCAGTTTTCAAAGACACTTTACTAACAGATTTTGAAGTCACCAAACTTTGGCAGGCAGTAATAATTTCTTGTTATGACTGTGAAACCAGGACTAGATCTCCACAGCCCCTTCAATCACAAATATCTTGACTAGCCTGCCTCTATTCATAAAAATGAAAGATGGGTATTTTTTTCATCAAAAGGATATGATGAACAGGCTTGAAGATTAAATCAATTTATAACTCCATTGACAAGCATGTATAATTTTATTATGCCTGCATGGATGAATTTTATTGCAGTTTTAAAGGATCTCTGCATACTTGAACACCCAACATGAACTGAAAAAACGGTTCAGTCGCCTCTTAGATGTTCAAGGAGTTAACTTCATATCATATAAAAGACCCCTGCAAGAGGAATAGGAACAAATCATATTCTTATTATTATGTAACAAATTGGCCGGGACACCAAGACTAATATATTAGGCTAACTAAAATTAAGTAGGCCTTACTTACCTCAGCTTAGACTTTTTAAAAATAATTTTTATACATGAATAATTCAGGCCTTCGAGTAACGCCTGTCCTGGGAGATGAGTCCAGGCGCAACAATTTGATGCAAATGTAACATTCAGAAAGATCTATTAACTTCCCGGCGCTCTTTGGAAATTCTTCCCCGTTCCATTGGCAGCCATTCTGAAACTGATAATTTGCCATGTAAACGTGAAGACTGGGTGTGTTTTTTTAATTGTCATTTTAGCATGTAAATGGTCAGTCTAGCCATCATATTAGGAATAAGTACGGCTAGACTGTACGGCAGTCTAGCCGTACTTATTCTAAATACGATGGCTAGATTGACCATTTAAAAAAAATAGGCTTACTGAATTGTAAATATAAATTTTTAGTGTGCAGTACCTAAAGTATTTGTATTTAAGACGAAACCAGGTGCCGTAATGACAGTGCATGTATTTTAAACCTCCTGTTTTCTAATGTTAATTGGGCCTAAGATAAGTTATACGGCTAGACTGGCAGTCTAGCCGTACTTAAGTACGGGTAGACAGCCAGGCTAGCCATACTTAAGGACGGCTAGACTGTCAGGCTAGCCGTACTTAATATTGATGGCTGAATTGTAAATGAAATTTTTAGTTTGCTATGCCTAATTTATTTGTATTTCAGACAAAACCAAAAGGTGCCTTACTGGCTTGCATGTATTTGAACCTGAATAATTGCTAGATATAGATCTAATGAGACCTGTGTACTTAACAGGCTTGCGTCGATAGGGCCAAACTTAGATCTAAGTACGGCTAGACTGGCAGTCTAGCCGTACTTAAGTATGGCTAGCCACTTCTTCGTAAAATTGCTGACCGAAGGGTGACCTTTCTTTCACGTTATAAGACATTAATCAGCCATTTATAGATCGCATAGGGTCATTTGCAGTTCAGAGATGTTTTTCTCTCTTTTTGTGTGGCAATTCCTCCCAACTCCAGTCTCTCTTGTCACCAGTTCGACAACAACTTTCTGCTTTCGGTAGGCCTATAAATACTACAATTCGCAGCACTTACTTGATCGTCTGGATTATTATTATTAGTCTAGAGAGTAGACTAAACACAAGGTAGAATCACACATGCGATACTTAACTCAATATAAATCTCTACCAGTGCTCTCAAAAGAAACTTACATTCACTGTCGGTGCCGATGTCATGTTCTCTTCTGTTGCAACTGTTACTGTGTTACTTCAGCTTGGGCAAGCCTTGGCCGACATTGATGATGAGATTTATGTCAACGGAAGTTTACAACTTGTTGTAACCAAGGATAGCGCCCCTACTTTCGCTTTTAAAAGGTAAAAGGTCAAAATAAGGTGCATACATCGTGACTCTTGTTTTCAACGTTCTGAAGAGTCACTTTCTATTTCGTGCCCCGTTCGTCCGCTGAAGAAGAAAAAATTGCTGTGATCAGAAGCGTTCATTCATAGATCAACTAAAGATCTAGATCTAGATTCTAACAGACAACTTTTTCGCAGTGAGTGTTGCCTAAAAAATTTTTTTAAATCTAGAGAATCTAACTCAAACTGCTTGATTTAACAACAACGTTGACATGGATTATAAGAAGCTGCTCTCTCATTTCATCATGATCATGTTGCATGTTGTGCAACAATATAATTTATAAAAAGTACTATTCTAGACTTAAGACTAGATTCTAGATCTAGATCTAGATTAGATATAGATCTAGATCTATATATCTATATCTAGATTAGATCTAATCTAGACTCTAGATTAGATCTAGATATCTCTCTAGATTCTAGATCTTCTAGATCTAGAATCTAGATCTCTATACTAATTTTACTGTCTTGTATGATTGTAATTGTTTGTAAGGTTGTATACAATGAAATGATGCTTTATAATAAGGCCGGCTCTATTTCTCCGATCGTTCGGGAAAATAAACTTGAACTCTATTTCTCAGAACGGTTTCCGTTCTCGAGATTTGTTGATAATAAGCGAATGGAATGGCCCCTGTGTGCGTGCGTGTGTGTGTGTGGTGTGTGTGCGTGTGTGTGTGTGTGTGTGTGTAAGGTGTGAACAGGGGGGGGGGGGGGGGGGGGGGGGGTTGATGGTTGTTTTTTTTTTTACATGAAGGATTTTAGTTTTTGCTGGGTGAATAGCAAAATAGGTTACTGCCAAGGTCGAGCAGTCTTGTTTTCTAGCAGTACCTTTTGAAAGGTATTTTCAAATGAAGTATAGTCCGGGAACGTTTCCCCAACCACAACTGAATTATCTGAATATTCAGACATTTAAAAATCTCTAGCTCTAGAAATTGAATTTGATGCAAAAAATGCTTCTTCCCAGTCCTCGTAGAATGGCAGAATGAAAGGATGACGCCTAAATCTCGCAAATAACCCAAAAAATCTCGAGATCGAAAACCGTTCGGAGAAATAGAGTTCAGCTTTATTTTCCCGAACGTTCGGAGAAATAGTCACTTCGTTATAATAATGTTATGCTGTGTGCCTCTCAGAGCTCTCTTAAATTTGATGTATCGTGATGATTGCATTTGTATTGCATCGTGGGAAGTGTGAAGGCCTGTCCTTTTTAGGGCTCTCTTCGGGAAAAGTGGTCGCAGCCTAACTTCATAGACGTTACATTACATACACAGTTGGAAACAAAACCAGAATTTAAGTTGCCTTTTAAAAAAAGGGGGGAGCCCGACGTTGTGTCCTTGGGAAAGGCACTTTACACAAATTTTCCTCACTTCACCCAGGTGGGAATGGGTACCCGGCAATAGAATCTAGACAGTGAAAGATCTTATCAATTATCAGTGTATGTTAGTGTTTTAGCGTCTATAATAGCTGCTTGCACTGTATGCTTCCCAGGAAGTTGAGATTGTTTCAGAATGCTCTCAGGTCTGCTGGGGTAATAGTAATGTATATATTGTAAAGCGCATAGAGCTTGCTGTTGAGCGGGTACTTGCGCTATACAAATGCTATCTATTTTTAAACAAATTTCTTTACCTGTTCGTATTAACTAAAAGTGACTAGAGACAGGTAAATGATGAATACTACTACTGCTGAAATTATAAGATCATGTACTGTTAAAGGCAGTCTCGTCCTTTATATGCAACAGAAGAGCCAAATTGGTAAGAAAAGTGATCTTCATGCGGGCTCTTTCCCTCTGAGGGCAACTGCTCAATTTGCAGAGTTGAGTGACATCACCGCTGAGCACGCGATACGAAGGCGTGCGTCGTGACAGTGACAACACAGCTGGTAACCACAACGTTATGAGCCTGTGAGATATACTGAGATTTAGGAACGAGTTTCTGTAGTGTGATAAAACACATCAGCAGGCTCTTATTGTCTCTTTCAGCGTATTTTTATCAGGAAAGTGCTATTTTAATGTTGCAAAATATTAATTTGAATTTACTATAATAAGAACTATTATCAGCAGCCAATCTCTTGCCCACTATAGCTGACTAAAAGCGACTGGCTCTGCGCCTGGTGACCACCTACCAACAATTTTCAGTGACCATATACATGACACATGATACCATGCTCCCTCTGTTTCTAGTCCCCCAGTGGCCACCAGCCTTAGGACAACTTTTTAGAACTTGACACATTTGTAATTACTGTCCCCTGCCTCATCAAGCCAACCCGACCAGACCCATAGTAAAATATTTACAAGGCAGCCAACACAGTTTTGGCAACCATTTATTATAACGGCAACATGAAGTGAATGGTTCCAAACCAGGATTGGAGGGTATGCCAAAGATGTCTGCTCTCCCCACTCTTTTCAATATCTTTTTAGGGTGAATAATGGCTGACACACTGGAAGACCATTAAAGGAACAGTCAGCATTGGAAACAAGACAATTAAAAATGTATGTTTTTGCCAACAGCATCACATTGACAGCCTAGCTGTACAAGAGTAAGACAAGAGCTTGCCAGCTTGGTAAATCACCTTAAGAGGCCTCCAATGCATGACATGCACACATAGATGTGGAGAGATGACATGGCTAATGACAAATAACACTGATGGCATCAGCACTGACATTGCCACATGATAGGCAGCAAAAAAAAAACTGGAGACAATCTGTAGTTTTAAATTGTTGGAGCTATGTTATCGAATGAGGGATCTTTTCGGATTAGGGATATAAGCTCAAAGTACTCTCCAGGATAGCCCAGACCACAGCTGCAATACCAAACTAAAAGTCATTTGGAACAACAAGAACATCGCCATTACTTCCAAGATCAGACTGATGATGCATTCCCTGGTCATATGATGTCTCCTTTTTTTAAAAAAATGTTTAGTGGAGCTATTTGTTACTATTTGTTGAACATCTCATCAGTTTTATGATGCTTAAAGTATGAAGTTGAATTTATGTTTAGTTTTGAGCTAAGAGCCCAGCTCCTCACAATAAGGTATTAACTGTTACTGTTTATTTTTTACGATTCTCATGGTAACAATTTTAAGCTCTGTCATGAGGGATAATTTTATATGATTTATTGGCACTATAGAGCATTAAATATTGACCCTCTAGCCCATTAAATAAAACTGTTACCTCTTCAAAACTAGGCCAGCACTCTCATGATGGAACACTTTTTCTCCTTTTCAAAGCAACAGCAGGGAATTTTAATGTGTGATTATACAACACTTTTTGCTGGCAACCTCAGGCTTTATCTTTCAATTTTTCGAACTGTATTATTTTACACCCCTTTTAACACAATTTACATAATTTAAAAGGTGGTCCTCTTTTGATGACACACTAAATTTGGTCCTCTTTTGATGACACACTAAATTTGGTCCTGGAAAGAGTAGGTGAATTTTTAGAGCTATGTTTGATTTTATAATAATATAATAGTCATAAGTAACAGTTTTTTAAGCTATCCTGTAAAAGAGGAACAATAGATTGGCTGTTTTGCAATGAAAGACGCACTTTATTGTGATGATCAACAAATATTTTTGTTTGTCTGCCTTGATTTTCTGGATTGTTGAAGAGTACCACTGGTAAGTTCTTCTTTTCTTTCTCTTTACTATTCTTCTGATTTATTCAGTTTGTCCATATTGCTTTTTCTTTCAGCTTATCACTGTTGTTTTGTCAATGTGCTTTTTTTAACTCAAGTCAAGCCTCATACTTGTCTTGACTTTTCATTAAATGGTTATTATCAGGTCAGTTTACATCTTTTTGACTTCATATTTTCAGAAATGAATCACGCTCGCCGTTGTGTTCACCGCTTAGTGGTTATGAGGCCCCAATTAAGGAGTGTCTCCCAAAGCTACAGTACACTCAGCAAAGGAATGATGCGCCCTCTGATACAGGCCAGCAGAAAGAGCTACAGGTTCGCACCAGCTATTGGCAATAAAATGATGTCAGGCGGTGCTGGAGATAGCAGTTTTGAAGTTATCAATGTGCAAGACGAGGAAGATTTCAAGAAGCGAGTCCTTGAAGCAAGTGCCACAACACCTATTGTTGTGGATTTCCATGCTGAGTGAGTAATTTTGAGTAGATCCAATGGTTTCCTTCAAAATTTGTTTCCCATGTGCCTGAATTTATTTTTAATGACTCAGCATGAAAACTATTACATTACTAAAGCCAGTAAAGGAACAAATTGTACACAAATGTGACATTGGAAAAAAAAAAGGGAAAGGAAAACCCACTCTACAGAATCAGCCATCTGCTTTTTTTGTGTGAAAATGCACAGTACCTCTTTTACTTTTATGCACCCAGATTTTTGGACCCCAAGAAATTTTAAAAAGCCATTTCCATTTTGAGGGTGAATAAAGGGGTACAGTCTGGTTATAGACCCTAGTTGGCCTATCCACTCTGTAGCATTCAGTATTTCTTAGAATTTGAGTATGAGCCTATAGGACAACAAAACTAGGAAGATACGATTTGGACTTTGGACTCACCACTGTTTCATTTTGACGCTCGGATCGAAATTCTTTGAAAAAACGGATTGTTTATTTGGGGCATATAATATACTTGCATTATGACATCCTTGACCTTACAGCTTGGTGTTTTTCCAGTTCACCATGGAGTGCATCATTTGAGCAAAAATGAAGAGATTGGGGGGGGGGGGGGGGGGGGGACCACAACAGTGGGCACCTGACTACACAGCAAAACAAAGCAGTGCTCCCAACTTGTTGCCTCTATAAATTTTGCTTAAAAATATTGCTGCTCTTTTTATTTTTGATTTTATCGCAAAGAAAGGTACACACAGCTAGAAGTAAATTTTTAAAAAATTGTTTTAAGATGTTAACTCTATTATGTAGTTGCGAGCGCTGTAAAAATCTTACCAAACTGAAACTGAAAACTCCCTCTGCTGTCGTAAGAGAAAACGACGAATGGTTAAAATTTTTCTATTTTTCTATTTTTATATATTTCATAGAGTATTTAATTCTGCAACTGATGGTGTAAAAATTTGTGTCATATCGTAATCCGTTGTTGCGTAATTGAGAGTTCGTCATTTTCCCGTACACTGGCGAGCTCTGAGCCAGAGCTCAGTGTAAGGGAGAACGACAAATGCTCGATCGGTCAAGGATCACTGCTCGTTCGGCGTTGTCCCCTGGTCTCTGCCGTTAGCAAATTTGGCGTGGGCGACGAATGACAATCGATCACTGTTGCGTCAGTACAAACATACTAGGCTTTTTGCAAACAAATACACCACCACCCCCTCCCCCGGAGTACCGTCGACCAGGTTTATAAGAATGTATCACTTAGTATGTCTTTCTGTCTGTCTTCACGTATTAGGCCTATGCTGACGGTGTGAATTGACAAGAGCAGGCGGTAGAGAGGGGAAAACGGATGGGAACAGGGGGAAAGGGGTGGGGATGGGAGGGTCAAAAAAGTATTTAGGGAGAAATTTATTAGCACTGCATATTAGTGTCCGCCAGATGTTCACAGACTAACGTCATGTTAGTTTGCTGTCCAGTCATTTGACATCCCAAATCCCAACGATGGTTATAATAATAATAATAATAATAATAGATAGCATTTGTATAGCGCATATCCCCGCTCAACAGCAGGCTCTATGCGCTTTACACTATATTATTACCCCAGCAGACCATAGAGCACTCCGAAACATTCTCAGCTTCCCGGGAAGCATACAGTGCGAGCAGCCGATTAAGCGCTCAAACACTAACAAACTGACACGATCTTTCGCTGTCTATAGCCGGGTACCCATTCCCACCTGGGTGAAGTGAGGAAAATTCGTGTAAAGTGCCTTTCCCAAGGACACAACGTCGGGCCCCTGACGGGATTCGAACCCACGTCCTTACGGTTGCGAGTCCGACAGCCTAACCACTAGGCCACCGACGCCACAATTTGTCTAGCACGTGTCACTGGTCGACATCCTTATAGAATTACCAAGCAATTAATGACACTGCGTTATGAGAGTAAATTTCTTTGTCCAACTTAAAAAGTGGACGTATTGTGGCGACACTTAGTCTTGCTTTACGATTTTTTATGACTTGATGGACGATACGATCGAGTATAATAATGTCTTGCAGATTCAAACTGTCCTTGTCGATCTCTACTTTGTGGTATGTTTTCCGATCAACTGAATCCTTTATTAAATACAAAGCGTCTCATTACCTCTCCCGAAAGCGTTTGTAATACAGTCTTGTCAGATTGTTACATTTCTTACGAGAAAGTTTGACTTTTGCAATGATCTGATCGTATTATTGACATTGTAACATTGTTGATCCCTTTGGTCGTGCAGGGAAAATTTTGCAATTAGCGAAAATAAAAGTAAAACTCGCTTCTGAAGAGAATACAATAAAGATATATCATGGAGATCAAACTTTTGTTCCGAATGAGACAGTTTTAAATCAAGCTGTTGAAAATGTGCGCACATCTGATTTGTGCGCTGACTGTAGTATTTAACCAAGCGAGGAAGGCAAACGAAGGACGTTTACCGAGTTAAAGTTGGGATATAACAAACACCTAACTTTATACGTATAATAACTAGTTTGTATACGTCTTGTTTTTATTTGTAGCAACCAGTACACAGTCATTACTGTCAATAATGCGTCACAACTGACCATCGCCTACTCTCATAAACGTTCACGAGTGTAAGGGAGAACGACGAACCGTACCATTCGTCGTTTTCGCGTACATCGCAAGGCTCACCTGCGGGCGCGCAGTGTAAGGGAGAATGACGAATGTCGAATGACTTTGCTACTTTTTAATCTAAACCATTCAAACTTTAGAAACTGCATTATGAGCACCTCAATCAGATATCTGGTGAATTACAGCTTAAAAGAGTGAAAAATAGAAGAGTTATAAAGTGAAAACAGTTTTTGCCTCTCCTGAAAAATTTGCCTCGCTACCTGCGCAGGACCATTCGTCGTTTTCCCTTACAACGGCAGCCCTTAAAACCCAATAGGCAGAGCATTTGTACAAGGCAATTTTGTCTTTCGTTTGGGTGTAGGCTAACGATACGGTCCATGCTACGAAATGACTTTTTTTTTTAGAGAGAGTGACGAGTGGCTGCCACGATAGTGCACTGTCTAAGAGTACACATGTCTGTATTTTTTGGGGAGTTTTCAAGACTCTTCTTTACCCGCTTAGCTTTTTTCTTTTTGAGGATAGACATAAAATTTAGAGGTCCCACCTCACCTCTTAAATAACTTAATGTTGATAGGGGCATTATTATAAGTACCATACTATACCAAAGTTGTCTTGGTAGTCATATTGTTTTGTGTGTGTTAGCTGTGCAGTGCATTGTTGCAAATTATTTTGATCAAGCCTTGAAGTCTCATAGTTTCAGTTGATAAATATGGACACTTGGTTGCAATTTAAAATGTCTGCAGGCAACATATAATAGACCTAATAGTTTGCAATATATTGCTTTGAAATATGTGATGAAACACTTTTCTCGTCGAGTATTGCTGTCTTTCTATAAATCCCTTTAAGTGGGTGGTTGGCCGGTGCTCTGGTGTGGTTTGCTTCTTCTTTCCTATCAAACATCTGTCGTCCTTATCTCCCCTCCTTCTTTTTTATGTTTGTTACTCTTTTGTAACGCCTCTGATCTTCTGGCGCTCATATGATCTTATGCAGTTGCGAGCGCCGTAAAACCTCTAGATCTGCTACTAAATCCCCCTAATCCCACCCGCCTCTTAGATAATTTAGATTGTATTGATCTAGGTGTAAAGCATTTATTTTTAAAAAATATTTTTATTCTTTGGTTGTGAGGTGAGCTTCAGAAACTCACCTATGTAATATTAAAATTCATGACTTTTGTAAGGTATTACATGTAATAATTTTGCTTTCACAGGTGGTGCGGCCCTTGCAAAATCCTTGGTCCAAGGCTGGAATCACTCATGTCTAAAGAACAAGGGAAAGTGACTATGGCAAAAGTCGATATCGATGATCATTCAGATCTGGCCATGGAATATGGGGTAAGCAATTTCCTTTTCTCCTTTGTGTTCTAGTTCTGTCTTTTTGATGGACAGTCTTTCTTTATGATTTTTTTCTTCCTCATATCCCGCGGCCAAGGTCCTTGCCTTCAAAATGCCTTTCTCTTGTAGGGAGTTAATCCGATTCAGTAGCTAGCAAGCAATCAAGGTACATTGAGTGAGGTTTATTGAAGATTTTGATACATGCACTTCAATTCCTGTGTTTAATGCAGTTAAAACTGGTCTAAAGACACAATACTGCCGTATTTAAATCTTATTTTACCTGCTCGTTTGATTCTTCTTCCAAAAACAGAGGTGTGATCAGCAGCAACAGTGATTGTCAATTTGTATACCTCTGTCAGAACATGCGTGTTGATATATACAGTCAAACCCCGTTGTACCAAATCCATCTCAAAATAGATGGTACCAACTTGAACAAGGAGAATAACCCAGTGTATCTTGGAGTACAACTTGACAGCAAGCTCAACCTGAAACAACACACCAACAACCTTAGGAAGAAAGCTATGAAGAGACTTAATCTCACCAAACGACTAGCCAGTACCAACTGGGGATCAGACAAGAACACCTTAAGAGGCCTCTATTTGGGATATACCAGAGCTGTTTTTGATTATAATCTTGTTTTACAAAAAATCTGCAGTAAAACTACAAAGAACTCAATGGACACCATCCAAAACCAAGCTCTTCGTCTTATCTCTGGCGGAATGAGATCCTCATCGACTGTGGCTTGTAAAATCCACACAAATATTGAGCCATTAGAAACTCAAAAAAAACGGGCAGCTTTAAAAGTATATGAAAGATCTAAAAGGCTAGAAAATAACCACCCTAATAGAATCCTTGTTGACAAGTGGAAACCTAATCAAAGACTAAAAAATACAAAATCTGTATTTGACACTGTTCTCAATCTCCAAGAAAAACATCACCTCCCTGAAAGACGAGAACCTTTGGAAAGAGTTCCTTCAACTCCCCCACCACATCTCACCATAGCAAAGCCAGAAATTAGGAAAACACTTTTGGACAAGAGCAATAAAAACACATATCCAGTAGCACTAAAACATTCTGCCCTTGAAACAATTGATTCCTATCCACCAACATGGATCCACTCATACACTGATGGATCTGCCTTTAAGGCAACAATCAATGCTGGATATGGGTCAGTGAGCAACTTGCCCAGTGTTTTAAAAAAGAAAGTCTTTAATTCCAGCGGGTCCTTCTGCTCCAATTTCATTGCCGAACAACAGGCTATCACCAACACAGCAAACTACATCAACTACTTGTTTGACACTAACCCACTTGCTACCACAGACATCGTTATCTTTACAGACAGCCTTTCGACACTAGAGACACTTGAGAGTGGGACTGATGTGAACAAAGATATATTGCACTTGATTTGGAGTCTACATAATTTGATAAGTAGGCACCACGTCAGAGTAGTCCTACAATGGATTCCTGCCCACACTGGAATACCGGGAAATGAAAGAGCTGATGCTCTGGCAAAGAAAGGAGCTAGCCTCCCTCAGCCTGAAATTCCTACGAATTACACCACCTGCTGCCAAATGATCAAGTCAAACCTCAAGGAAGAGTGGATGAATGATTGGGCCACAGGTACGACAGGAAGGATGATGTATGGCCACATGAATAAACCACTGATCAAAGATCCAATCAATGAGTTGAGGAGGAGAGATCAATCCATAATCTTCCAACTTAGAACCCAACATGTACCTCTCAACCAACATCTCAACTGAATTGGAGTAAAGCAGTTTGCTGCCTGCCCATTATGTGACTACCCCTCAGAGACAGTGGAACATTATCTGTTCTTCTGTAGAAAACTAACTGATTTAAAGGGATGTTTTCTTCCCAAGCTACCCCACACATCTAATTGCCTCTACTCCTCAAGACAACAATTAGAACAGACATGCAGCTATTACCGAATGGCATCATGCAGAAGAGTTAATGCTCAGATGCTACTGGATCGCAAACAACAACAACCCCGTTGTACTGCCAGCCCCGCTTACTGCCCGGTTTTGCCAATGTACAAAAAGAATCCCCTCTATAAACATGGTATTTGCGCCTTTACACTGCTCTCCGCCAAATGTCTCAATGGTACAGTCCTTATTAAACTACTGTAAATTTACCCTGTTGTATCGCCAGCAAACTAGCCGCCAGTAATACACAGTACACACTGGGGAACACATGGCAGAGCTGGAGCGCGAGAACGGAACTGAATCGCCACTCTTCCCTGCGGAACGCGATTCACGATTCACTTCAGCGGAATGCGGAATAATATCGCCTTCCGATTCCCGATTCACTCCCCTGTCACTGTCACCACCTTGTGGCTTGTTTGTAACCTACTGCTGGGTTGTGAGTTGAGTCTTGAGCACAAGAACGGAATGGAAGACTTATTATGGCTCTCCTTTATTTTACAAAAGATGGTATAGTCCAACCCCCCTATTAAAACATAATGAACGGATTCCAACCAATAGACTAGGAATTTTATAGAGCCATTGTTTTAGCAAATCATGGGGGGGGGGGGGGTGAATTTATGGGGTCGCTAATTGAAGTCAATAGAGCAGCACAACGAAGAGTGGGGAGGGGGGGGCGGAGAGGATGGTGGGGCAACAAGGGTGGGACTCGCGAAGAGGCGTTGATATGACACTGTTCTGTTTCATGCATACAACGAGTCCGAGGCTTAGTGTTCCACGAGCGCTCGCTAACTCGCGGTTCTTTGAATCCGACTGAATCGCGAGTCACCACTCTCAGATTTGGTGAGCAGGATCCAGCTCTAACACACAGCGCACGTCACATCCCCTGAATGATTGCTTGACACATTTCACACTCACGTTTCTACAAGCTAGGCCTATGTGTAGATCAAACTCTTTTCACCAATTTGCTCCCTCCCCGCCCATCCCACCTCTCCACCCTTGTCTTGTAAATTTCAGGTAATATGGATAGCTCTTCAGTGATGTAAGCTTAGTTTGTCTTAAGCGAACACAATAGGCCTTCCATGTGTAATGTAAAAAAGTAGTTTACAATTATATAAAACATCACTTTATAATTCAGCATCAAATTCACTTCCCGCGTGGTGCGCTGATTATGAAAATGCTATTATATTAAAGCTTTGGTCAATATTTAAAAAAATTGGAATTAAAGATATTTTATTTAGTAAGGACTCGCACCCAAGTGTAAGTGGCTGATCGAAGGGAGATAATTCATTACTTCATCTAGTGATTGGTAGAAAAATTCCTTTGACGTAGGACAGTAGGTGCTTCATGTATTTAACAGAGGACATGAAAACCTCATTGTACCACCTGCCTCGCTGTACCGCCAACTTCATGCTCGTCCCAAGGTATGCCGTGTAATGAGGTTTGGCTGATGATAATAACTTAATAACAGTATACCGGTACATTTATGAAAGAGTTGCTGTACATTAAATAGGCTAGTATTTGTGATACTTGTCATTGTGGAAGTTGTTGATATTATATTTTATTGTGATGTGCCTAGAGCCATCAGGGAGTGGGCATTATAAAAGTGATCTTACGTGTATGATATGGAGCATCTGGGAAACTCTACAAACCAAACTTGATTCAGGTTGACTCTTACTGAAGTTTACAAATGTTCAGGTGTTAAATTTCCATGGAACTGCAGGAGTCAGTCTTTGCGAAGATTTTGACATGTTAGGAGTTCATATAAAAATCATTGCCATGTCAAAATCATTTGCCATCTTCACCACATTCTGCTCTGGGATTTTTTAGCAATTCTGTGATTTCTGTTTGCCTCTAGCCGAGCATAGTAAAGTCAGTTCCTGGGTGGTTAGCAGGTGCTCTGGTGTAGTTTGCTCCTTGTCTTTCGTCCATGTCTCTCCTCCATCTATTTTGTGTTTGTGACACCTCTGATCTTCAGCACTTATGTGACCTAACTGTTTGGCAAGTGCCGCAAAAATCTCACTAACAAACCAAAAGTCAATGCCTTGCATGCTGCCGTCTGTTTTGTACATTTTTAAATACAATATCAATACACTGCGTAATATTAGATCGATCATTGCTTCCAACCAGTGCGTGAAAAACATATTTAGTACGTTTTGAAGGTCTTATAAGTATGGAAATTGATCGCTTTTAAGGACAAGCGGGCTAGCCCACATTTTGGGGGTTTCCAGAAATCTTGACCTACACCAAAAGTGAACATTGCCCTACCTATAGGAGAAGTTTGGTTTCATTGGTGTGTCTATTTGTTTGGTTACAGAGAAAACTCTCCTTTTTTTTTAAAGGAACTAAACAAGGGTCCAAAAACTTTACCTTTGATTTTCTCAATTTCAGGATAGCCACCTTGCACATAAAAGCGACCAATTAATTGTCATGTTTTGGAAAAACTTGCGCATATTTTCTTTTTTCTGGTATTACTTGTCTCAGACTTGCCAGTGCTGAAGAAATCTTATGAACTTTCAAGACCTGATAAAATTATGAATGAGAATGAAGCCCATAAGTCATTTCAGTCTGTATCCTTACTACAGTTACTGAGTTAGTGTTAGTTCTTGAGCAAGAATTTATTGAAAGCAGAAAAGTGTGTGTAAAGGATTTGGATGTGCCTCCTTGGATATTGTTCATCATCTTGACCTGCCACATGGGTACAGTATGTTTTTGGGATTTGAAAAGTTGGTAGCTGTGTATTACATCGTGTGGATGTTTCTATTATTCTGATTTTGTACCGGACTGACCAATAATTATCTTCTTCTTCTTTTTCCATCAGGTGAGGTCTGTACCTACAGTTGTAGCTATCAAGAATGGCAAGATTCAGAATCAGTTTGTTGGTGTGATTGATGATGACCAAATCAAGGCATTTATTGAAAAACTTGTCATCTCGTGATTAGAATGAAAGTGATGCTCTGTATGTTAAATTTGTCTTCTGTGAATATAAAGTATTAGTTGGATGATTTGGTTTGGTTGACTGGATAATCAGAAAATGTTGTACATGGCTTGTTGCCATGTCTTTCAGACTATTTAATCATTGACACACTTTTCTATTTGTTTTTGTATTTGCTTTATGCAGGAGTTCATGTTGCTTCACCCTACAAATAACTTTTTACTTTATAATGTGAATTGCAGACTATCTACATAAAGGAATATAATGTGTAATTCAGTCTGAATCTGAAGTGCATATGAAGATTTTAATTTACAGCACTTAAAAACTAGTCTTGGTATTATGAAGACTACCCAAGGTAGGGGTTATAAAGATTGACAAGGATACTTTTAGCCTACAGTTGTCAGTTGTCGGTGAACTAATGATAGAGATTGTTGGCCATTGTAAGCAGAAAGGCTACATATTGTTTTCAAAAGTTAAAGAGAAAAGGGTTTTATTCAGTAAATTGGTCGATGAAATAGCTCACTCTGTTGATATTATGGAAACGACTGAGAAAGACTGATTTATTAATGAATAAACTAATCATTTTCATCAAACAACGACTTCATTTTTTTTTTTCCGTTTTAGTTTTAATGCCTTGTTGGGGTTCTTTAAAAACATTTTTTTTTAGAGTCTTTGTAACTGGAAGTGAGGTCATGATGTCATGGTATGGGCTGAAGGACTTCTGTCGAATGTGTCTCATTTGTTGTACTGTTACATAATATTATTACTCCGTTGCTAAGGAATGATGATTTCATCCCATTCAAAGCTGCGGGTAGGTGGTGGGGGTCACTGGTAGGTCCTACTCCTCTACTTTCTCTCTGTTGTTTCTGTCTGTTTGTCTTACTTTTTTCCAGTAGGCCTACCAAATGAAATTGCCATTTTGTGTCCATGTGCATCTCTTTACCCAAACGCAAAATTCAAACCATTCAAATCCCTCACACTCACCACAGTCTCTATTGAATATACTGAACATGGTGAACCTGCATCTGTGGTGTGACAGTGAGGCTTTGTGCTGGCGCACGCAGGAAACCTGAATTCAATTCCAGAGTGGGGAGAAGACTTTTATTGATTTGAGTATCTTAGTCTTTCTGCTGGGATGTTTTTTCCCTCTCAGTCCAGGTTGGCCCAGACAGGCTATGTTCGAAGCTCATCTCCTAATTGATCTAAATTGTATTTTAAGAACAGAGCAATAACACAAAACCTTGTGTACACATGAAGGAAGGGGGCTCTCATGGTCTGAAGGTTATGGTGTTCGCCTCTCATGCCATAGGTCCCGGGTTCGAAACCTGACAGCGACGGAAAATTTTATTGTATAAAATTGTCTCTTTTTCCCTCTGTTCCTGCTCCCAAACGTCCATGTTCTGTCGTCGCCTTCGTCTCCACATTCTAAGCTTCCTGGGAAGCATACAGTGCAAGCAGCTGATTAAACGCCCACACACTAACTGAAAAGATCTTTCGCTGTCTATTACCATGTTCCCATTCTCACTTGAAATGAAGTGAGGGAAATTCGTGTAAAGTCATAGCTAAGTGTATTTCCCAAGGACAGGACGGGATACCAACCGACGACCTTACAGTTGCGAGTCCGAGAGCCTAACCACAAGGGGGGGGGGGGGATCTTTGAATTATGAACCTATCTAATTAAATTACGGGGTAGGTGGACAGAGCAACTACCGCCCAGTTCAGCAGCCAACATGTCTTTTGACAATGGTTGGAAGAGATACAATATTATGTTCTTCTTTCAACCATACGAATGGTTTTTGTCTTCTTCCAGCTCTAGTCGTCATTATCAACTGCCAGATCTGTGACAAACACTGTTTATCAATATTTAAAAAAATAATACATGTACATGTATCATGGCTCTCCATTCTTTTCTTTGCGAGGGTGTTCTAAAACATACATTAGCCTGATCTTTTTCCGTCACCTATCTGTTATGGCTCTCCAATTAGGTTGCTCGGAGTTCACCAAATGAGATTCGAACAAACCAATAAGAACCTCGACCTTTTACATCTAGGTATATCTGTCACTGTTATCTCTGTTCAATGCAGAGACTAGAACCAACAGGCGAGACTACTGTGCCTTATCTGAAACAATCGCTCATTACATCACGCCGTCAAAGGCAGTACCGTAAATACGCGTTGGAAGAGGCAGTAATTTCGTCATTCAGCAATATTATAAGTGCTACCAATACAAGTTTATCAACATAAACTTACTTCAAAAGCTTAAACATAAACTTGAACGAATGGATGATGTGGGGAAGACTAGGACATTATAATTTGTTGTTGGTAATGGTGATATTTTGTTTGTTTGTTTTAGTCTTGAACTTGAAGCAAAGAAATGACAGGATCGCCGATGTCTGTTGCAGATCTAGTGTTCGACGATGCTGATACTAGTGATACATACAGAATTTCAAGTGTATACAGTAATGGCTTCGGCCTTTGCAGTAGTTTACATGTTAGGTACGCCCACCTATGTAACTGCCTCAGACCTAACATTCCGCATGGGAGATTGAGAGTCCTGTACCCAGTTTCTGTCTGAATACTGAGACTCACCTATTTACATATTCGAAGATTTGTACAAGTGCAAGACAAAGGATACCACCATGATGTATCTGATGGAAGTTTTCCTCATACTAAGCACGGCTCTGATTATGACATCAGCTGTTGGGCCCTTGTGTTTTGAATGTGTGGGCGTGGAGAATCCTTACGAGTGTAAAAATATAGTTCGATGCAAAGAGAACCAAATGTGTTTTTCCACGAGGTACATTGACTATCACAACGGGAAGGAGTTCTGGGACCTGAGCTGTAAAACGGCGTCTTTCTGTATCGCTGTAGGGATTCACACAGGGCGCCGTCGTCGAGACTCTGACTCTGACAATTGGGCTGCACAAAGGATTATAAGTACCCAGCATGCTCAAGATGAGGCGTTTCAACGACACTCTAGAGAGATTAATGACCACCTTGCTCTCTGCTCCTCATGCTGTCCCGGTGATCACTGCAATACCAACGTGTGTCTTACAGGCGTGATCAAACCACCGAAAGGTCTTTCTTGCTACTCTTGTCAGGACGTCAAGGACCCGGCTGACTGCAGACTTGTTGAAAATTGCAAGTTAGGGGAGAGCTGTGCTGTATGGACAACGCCAAACGGCCTGCTAAGTCTGGGGTGTAAATCCAGCAGTGTGTGTACTGTGGAAGGTAATCAGATTTTCTACGGGAAACGAGCTCTTGGCGTAAACGCATTTTCTTCACAGCCTTCTCAAACACCGGCAGCTGTTACGGGTAATAGAGGCGTGCGTGCATCTCGCTATGAAATGCCGAGAACATACGTAACACCGTTTCCCAGCATGAACTTACTGCAAAAGTTCGGTGCCGGTAACTTCCAGCTTAGCGCAGTCGAGCAAGGCTCTGATGTTTATGACGTCTCCGGATTCCATAGACGATCGGTGAGCTCAGGATGTCGTGCTTGCTGTGACAGCAACTTCTGCGCCCAGCGTTACTGCTCGCGCGTCACGTCGTTACCCCAGGGCGTGGTCACCGTCACAGCGCCGCCTACTACGACGCCAACGACAACAACAACCACTACCACCACGACAACAACAGCTGCCCCCACCACCACCACAACAACAGCCGCCCCCACCACTACCACAACAACAACCACTACCACCACAACACCGAAACCATTGTCCGTGAACATCGACCCTGTCTCTCAGAACGTCACTGAGGGCGACAATACGGCTGTCACTTGCCTCGTTCGTGGACAGCCGCCAATACACGTCACCATCGAGAAGAAAAATTCCGGAACATCTCCGACTGTCTTCTGTGATGAGCAAATATTGGTAGATCGGAAAAATATTTCATGCAGATTATCTCAGGTGCCGTTATCACTTTCAGGAAGTATGCAGTGCAAGGCAACTAATGCGTTTGAGAGTACTTTTTCAACAGCTCAGCTGTTTGTCAAAGAACGTATAATTCCTTTCTCAGTGACACAGAAACCGACGGATACGGACTTGACTCCTGGTATTACCACAGAAATCTTCTGCGGTGTCCGCGGCAAACCGACTGCCCATTACACATGGCTGAGGAACGTGTCCGGAGTTCTTAACAAAGTGGTCAACGGCAGTGCAGTGTCCAGTTACTACGACACACGTACTGATGCAGCAGTACTGGCAGTCACTGGAAAAAGCTCGGCCGCTGATGGCGTCTATACGTGCAGAGCTAAGAACACGCACGAGACTATGGATTTCATGTTCACGCTAAAAACACTGACTGATGTGGCAGTAGTTTCTCATACCCCTAGTAGCATTACAATAGGGGCACCGCCTTCTCAAACTGAAGTAACCGTATCTTGCGTTTTTCATAGCTATCCTTCCCCGTCAGTGGAGTGGACCTATAAAACAGAGCGCGGTTTAGTTGCTAAATTGCCTAAACAAAACTTCAGCGCTTCGTCAACTGGAGACAAGACAGAAAGTCAGCTGACCATCAAAGTGGACTTTATCAAAAAGAACGCTCTGTCGGGAGTCACGTGTTTTGGGGACAACGGGTACGGGAAGGTGAATGCGTCAACTTCCATAACAATTCAAATGCCCGCCAAGATCACCACACCTGCTCAGAACTATACAGTCCAACATGGACACAGCCTAGCAATCAACTGCGATGTGACAGGAAACCCTCAGCCAGTGATCAATTGGCAATTTCTTGACGAGTACGGATTGCCGTCAGTATTGCCAAACATTCGTTTGGAAAACCAAGCAAGGAGACTAATTGCTGATAAAGTAAGTTTCCCAGGGACGATTATCTGCATGGCATCTAATTCACTTGGAACAGATGAAGCCAGCTTCGGAATTAAAGTTATATGATACATGTGTGGAAAAAAGTACGTGCGCGCATTATAGACTTGAATCATGGTATTCTAGACCATGCAATGAAAAACTGCAGCTCTTAGTCTTTGCTTTCTCTAAAACTTTAGCTGCGAAATATGAGCACCGTGGGCGTCCAAAGAAGGGCAAAAACACCACTCTCACTATAGCTTAAGTGGAGTGCGCACATCACCACCCCCACCCCTTCCCCCTTTTCCCACGTCCTTCAAATAGAGTCAAATGGTGTGCTCTATTATAAAATTATAAACTGGAATTACGTCAGTGTGCAGATCTAGGATATTAAAAGACAAAAGTCTATGGCACGCAACAAGACAACTTCGCCCCTCCACCCTTCCCTGAATTGACCCATTCGCTGCTTCAGATAATGGGTAGTTGACGTCATAACTAGTCATTACCCTGAAACCTAATTCATCGTACTTGTCATCATGTCTTCTGTCAAACACTGTCCTCTCAACAACAAAAATTTTCAAATAATAAAAAAAAAAAGAAGAAAAATACTGTACAGTTTGTTATGTTGCTCTTGATAAGAAATAAAGAGTCGTAACGGGGCAGACTGGCCAAATGTTTCATTCCGCTCATCTCAGTACATGTACTTAAATCTATAAAGATGAGTCTGCTAGTAAAGCACATAAATGTTTAATGGATCACTGTCCTATCTTTTCCCCACACAATTGTTAACGGTTTGTTTACACAGGGAGCATAAATCTTCCTCCTCAAATGCCAGATCAGAATCATGACATAATTATATCGGCCATCACGGTTCGCCAGTATGTATACTGTTCGACTGTCCTCGAAATATCACGTTTGCCTTTCATTTGGAACGGGTATTACGTCAGTGCACACAATCTAAGATATCACGATAAATTCTATGACATATTTTTGTAAGCGTATTACGACGCATGGACATACATGTGTAGGTAGATATAAGGTCATAATATGAGCGCACGAAACACACCAGACATTTTCAGTTGATAGGAACTTTTTTATTTTGCCCAGGTGACGGCCGATGCCTACGCTTATTTTATCGATTTTGGACCACAAAGTACAAAGTAAAGGGATCTTGAATTAACGTACGCAACTTTCACACGGGACCTCCGATATTTTTTGCCCTTGCCCGAGAAGGCTAGGTGTAGATCTTTCCTATCACAAGATCAGGGGTGTGGCTTAAGACAGCAGTAAGTGGCCAAGGAGGAGCAGTAGAAAGAGTCAGGAGCAAAGGAGTTGAGGGAGGGGGTGGGAGGAGCAGGAAGTGGAGACGAAAGCAGAAGACAGAATATTGCTAGTTGCTAGAGAGCAGGAAAGGAGGTGAAAAGTGACACTTACTTTTTTAGAGTAGAAAATTTTCCGTCGCTATCCGGATTCGAACCCGGGACATATTGAATGAGAGGCGAACACGCCTTAACATCTAGGCCACGAGAGCCCCCGTCCTGGACTTTATTCCAGTGACGAGACATAACGAGCCGGAGCCACCGACTCAGCTGAACGGTGAAATCATCACGCTGGATTGTCGTGTGCATGTGAAGTAACGTGATTCGAATCCCAAACTTGGGTTGTTTCAGTTTGAGTTCGAAGTTTTCAGGTACCTGGTTGGTCTTTGGAGATGGACGTTAAATTCGGTGGTCCCACTTTTTTTTAGAAGACCTTGCAGTGGTAATGATTGTGGAAGTGTGTTTAACCAAACTCTATGGTTTTTATAACCCACAGAATACCTCACCGTTCAAATTAGAGACTGAGTGCATCTTGAGTCTCAGCATTTGGAGAACGTAAAACCTGCATTGATTGTGTGTTCGTCGATTTTGAAATGGACGAAATAATAAACTAAAGTCTATTTGTAAGTTCCAACACAAAGTTCTCCTTTTCGTACCCCTACTAGAATCTAGGTCTCAGGGGTAGCGACTGCTCGTTCATCATCCTGCAGTGCAACTGATTTTTGCTTTTACGTAATAGGGTTTTTTGTTCGTACTGGCCTTCAGGCAGCCCAATTCCATGTGTTCTACATGTATATGATTTTATAGTCACATACTGACTAGAGTATTTTCAGTTTAAGAAGGAATTAATTTTGAATTTTGACCGGGTAGCGGCCGAAGCTTACTTGTTGTACATTGACATGCATCGATTTTAGGATCGTCAAGGGTCTTTAAGTTTAATAAGCTCACTTGCACATGGAACCTCCAAGATTATTCGCCTTTATAAGTTTATCCGAGAAGGCTGGGTGCTCGATCTTACTTACCCTAAGACCAGGGGTGTGGCTGGAGGACAGCAGCAAGAAAAAGCTAGGACTAGTATGAGTAGCAGTAGAATTTAGAAAGGGTAAGGAGTAGAGGAGCCCAAAAGTGGGGTTGGGGGAGAAAGTGGAGATGTCAGCAGATGACAACATGAGTGACTAAAAAACAGAAAAGGAGGTTTTTAGGACGAACATTTTTTGTCGCTGTCAGGGTTCGAAAACAGGACCCTTTGAACGAGAGGCTCCTAGCACAAAAGTTTATAAATGTTCTTAGAAGAGTATTATAATTTGTAGATAGTAGGACTGCTACAAAGTCAAGACATGGCAGTTTAAGAGAAAATCATATGTTAGTTGTTTCGTATCACTTTTCAGATCTTACAATGTGAGATAATAGTAATAGTAGTAATATATAGATTTAATAAGTAAAGTTGCACTGTCACTTCTTAATTTAAGAATAAGAAGATAAGCATTGGATGACCATGTCTCGTTGGACCTATGTTGGTTGCGAACAAAGAGAAAGAAAAAAAGTCTCCTCATTCGTACAATGTACAAGTCTGTTCAGGACACAACATTTATAGTACATGTATACTATGTACTCATGTACAATATGTACTCATGTACAATGAATATTACAGACTAAAGTTACTATTGGTCTAAGTTAAAAAGTCCAGGTCTCTAATTTATTGTCGATGATATCTTCATTTCTTCATATTTAATTCCAATTCCTTGCAGAGATTACTTGTTTGAAAGTTTGGGAACAGACTGCTTTCAAAAGGGAAACCCCATGGTTTAAGTTTTATGGCCCACATTCCTTGATAGTCGTAGAGTGGGAAATAGGTGTACCAGAAAAAGTGGCACGCTGTCTGTCAAAATCAAAAGAGAGACAACGAAATTGTTTAAAATTCAAAAACACAAGCTGCCACCATCGGTGCAGCTGATTTCATGCTAGACTGGTTTGATAAATTTTCATCTATTGCCATCCTCATAGTCTTAACTCACTCACAAATTAAATTAAAGGTTCTCTCTCAAAGATAAATTTGACGTATCGAAAAGGGTGTGTTATACTCTTCCTTTTCCTTCACTTTACCCAATACAGGGTCTGTTTCAAGTTAATCACATCCCCTTTTCTTGTGTAGGGTCTTCTGAGTACTCAGTATTTTTCCTTTCATTTTGCCACTCTAAATGCACATATTCTTCATAGTTTCATAGCCAGAGTTCTTTCAAAAGCCTCGTAGCACATGTACTTCCTCCAATCCTTATCCTGTTTCCACAGTGTTGGCATCAACACTGATTTTACAAAACACTGAGTGAGAGGTTTGCTTTTTATTTCCCGATAAATCTGTCTCCGCGGTTTTAGGCAAAACAAATTCTGAAATTATGCAAACAGCCCAAAAATGTGAAATTATGCGATTCTGTTAATTATAACCAAGGACGATAAAGGAAAATAATCAGAAATTATGCAAAAAATTATCAAATTTTGCTATATTATGCGGAGTGCATAAAACACCGGGGACAGATTAATGAATGTTCAAGAAAATGTAGCACATTTTAGCTATCCTTTTCAATCTTTCTCTTGGAACATCTCAGAACAGCCGTGAAATATTTGATTACTTTTATTTAACCATCACTTCACTGCACTGTTACAAATAATACAAAACCTCTAGTCCTCAACATAAAATCCCAAATACAGTCCACGCCGGCATAAAGCACATTTCGGACTCGAGCACGCTAAACGGCTCTTACCGAATGCGCCTTTAAGCATGGTAACTTCAGCTTCGGGCACGCTTCATTTATAAGACAGTCAATACTTTCATGATGACCCATCAAAGTTTGAACAGTCTACACCGCAGCAGTGAGTGTGTTAAGAGAAACAAAAACAGCGCAAGTGATGGACACACACACACATGCGCGGCAAGGAAGTCAGAGAGATGCACACAGCCGTGCGTGTGGACATGGTATCTCACCTAGGGCAAAGCTACGCTCAGACAAAAAAAAATACAAAGAGAGTCGGGGAGATGAGTAAAGGAGGCAGGCTGTGATTTCACCTTATTGCCCCTCGTCATCCGATAATCCTGAATTGATATCATGCGCAAGATGGGATCAAAGACCGTGTTTGGGGGATGAAAGCAGTGGTATGAATGTGGTACAGTGGGCAGTGGTACGCACAGGTAGTGTGTAGGCCTTGTGTGCTGTATCGTGACTGGCTGTCTAAATTAAGGTTTTATTTCCTATTCAACCACAAAACAAAACAAACAAACAAATGAAAACTGCCAAGGCTGGTAAAAATTACAGTGCACACTTTTGTGGGACCACCATAGGCCTACTTACAAAGGGAAACAGGACAGGAAATTTTCTACATGAAAATCTCTGGATTATATCTACTTCGCACTCAAGCACGTTTCGGCATTAAGCACGCTTATGCTTTCTCCCGATGACCGTGCTAAAAGCCGGCCTGGACTGTAATTGCCCCGCACCGCAGACATGTAGAACAGACCAAATCTGCATCCATTTGTACAAATTAAATCACAAAAGAAGAGACAGAAACAAAAACAAACAAAAGCCTTAAATCGATTATGTTCCAACACTATACTTTATTTACTTCTTCTTTTTCAACTTCCTTTTCCCTTTGCCCTTTTTCTTTGTCTGCAACTTCTGTTTCAACATCTGTTTCTTTTTGAGTTTCTTGACTTGCATTTTCTGGGCAGACAGCTGATTGCTGCAAGCTGCTAGCCTGAAAAAAAGAAATGAACAAGACATGCTTTTTTATTTAATTTTCGAATATAACTGTCTTTACATACCCAGCAACACAACTTACAATATCAACAAGGCCAAGGAGGCAAGGTTCCAATCCTGCCAATCATGGCCAACCCCTGCTGAGAGGGATACAACATCCCAGCAGAAAGATTGCGATACTCGATAAAAATCCTCCTCACTTGGGATTCAAATTCAAATGTTCTGCATGCAACAGAACACAGATCTTTAGAAAGCAGTACTGTGTTGACTTGCCGTAACCACTAAGCATTTGTGGTGTAATTGTTACCTGTTTTCAAAAGATGTAAGTTTGATTCTCGAATGACAATTTGTTCTTGGGTATCTCCACCCCTCATCATAGGCATAGCAACTGAACTTTTTACATTTGTACCATCACCAACCCCCCCCCCTTCCCCAAAAGGAAAACCGAAAAAAAAAAAAGCAAAACAAAAACAACCACAAGTAAAAAGTAGATTCCTGTTGGGTTGAAGGCTAGTGCTGCATCACATTGAATATGTGGTAAGGGAAAGAGACTGCTCCTGCTTCACATGTTAATGGAGAATGAATTATTGTATACACTATCACAAGCAAAATGATATTGAATCTCTTCACCTCCACTTGAAGTTGAAGCCAATGAGTGAATAATAAAAAGTAAAGAATATCTTATCTTAAAAAAAAGAAAAATGTGAGATAGCATTCGTTTCACGCTCTACAACACTGTTTGTAGTAATGTTAATTAAGAGGAGGAACCTCTGAATCTATGTCCATCTCCGACAGGACTCAGCCAAATCAGAAAATTCGTGTAAAGTGAATTTCCAAGGCCACAATATTGGACCAAGCTGAAGCTCAAATCCTTGAACCAGAAATGTCACAATTACAAGTCCTGTGGCCTTACCACAAGACCACTGGCAACATCAACTGTGTCTAAATTTTGTTCATAATTATTTGCAAGCAAACATATTTCAAGGACTGAAATAAGCATTGTACTCTTAGTTCAAGTCTTAGTTTGGGTTCTATTACTGCAATAACTGTTTTTCCCTAATTTGTGTCAAAATTGTGTGAACTCCATTTCCGGAGCTTACTACTGCTATGTGGCTTCATTGTACACAACTATGTCCATGTAGAGAGCTCCAGACCATATACTATACAATTCACAGGTAAAGGAGATCATGTCCTATAGAGAAAAAAACGTATTTGTTGGCACAGGTCTGAGAAAAAACTTTCAGCATTCATCTGAACACCATTCTTTTTGTTAAAATAACAGGTCTCTTCAATTATAACCAGTCCTATGATACTCAGAGGAGAGCAGTTTTTGTTTTGTTTTAGTAAGCATTTTACAGAGAGAGAAAAGAACGATAGACGTTGAACAAAAAAGAAAGAACAAACCACACCAGAGCCAGAGCACCCCCCAATCCCGCACAAGGTGAGTAGCAAATAGAAATAATACTAGCTACACATGAAGAGAGTGAAGTAGTAGCAAGGAATACTCAATATCTTAACGCTGTCACAATACATACAGATTTCATTAGACCACTAGCTAGAAATGAGAAGAAAGTGTATTAGTTTTAGTAGAGGTTTTTAGGCGCTCGCAACTGCATAAGATCATATGAGCACCAGAAGATTAAAGGGGGTACAAGAGAGTAACAAACATGAAAAAGAAGAAGGGGAGATAAGGACGATAGATGTTTCATTGGAAAGAAGAAGCAAACCACACCAGAGCACCCACACAATGTCCTAATTTCCTACCTCTTACAGTTGGGCATAGATAACTCAAAACACATAGGGTATTGACATATATATATGTGTGTTTGATACATCCATAAATCGGGTTAACTAACTGACAATGAATAATTAAAGATATCAGTTGATGAACGGCAAATTGTACGAGCTATCCATGATTTTCGTGTTCATGTTATCTGTGCCTGACAATATATATATATATATACAAAACATATCTCTCTAAGAATGCAACACAGCAAAAGGAACAGAAAATACAAATCACTTACTTCTGTTTTAAGGACTTGTTTTTCACAGGCTTCACAGCCCCCTCATCTTCTTGATTCTCATTTTCTTCTCCTTCCTCTTCTTCTGGCTTGTTCTGGAAAAAAACCCAACCAGTCACTTAAAGTACATGCAACTGAAAACAATACGAAAGCAAAACCATCTGGGCACTGGTAATTCTTTATATAGAACTTATGCACATTTGTTATGAAATCACACCACAGACTAACGCAAAAGAAAACCATTTTTAAAGGAATTTCCCAGCACAAAATGCAACCCACTGATCATCGATCATCACAAGCATCCCACTTCCAAACGTTCAAAGCTGAACAAAAAATCTATGCTCGTTTACAAAAAGAAACCTCTATGAAGAGGCATTCTGCACTTAAACCAGGGGCTTTGGGAACTTTTCTGCCAACCCAGGTCTAGGTGGTGTGAGAAGTTGGTCCTTAGCCTGCCACTAGTGAATCTCTTGTAGTCTTGTGGTTTATCGTTAAGACATGGACTTTGATCTAGGCTGCTTTCTCCTGGCCTTCCTGTATGGCATCCATCCACTGTACACTTAAACAGGATCCCCACCACCTCCTGCCAGCTGACCATGATATTATGATGTATGGTTGGACAGCACCTCTGCTTAATTAACTACTCATAGTCATAGGCCACCAATCATCATATCACTTGACATCTGTGTGGGTGCTCTTTTTCATAGCCTGAAGACTTCAGGGATAAGTCCATGTCAGGTTGACTTGTTTAATGAATAATAATGACTAAGGAGTACTGCAGCACTGACATTCCCACATCCTGTGCCTATTACAAGGGTAACTCTATGAAATAAATGATTGTGCCTGGGTAGTACTATCTGAAATAAAAGTCCTTAAATTCAAAAGTAGATAATAATTTCTAGAAGTAAAAAAATTACACTTTCAACAGAGTAAGGCTGGATGCAACTCATGAAGCCTGTCAACTAGTCTCCTTAAATAGTGCCTTTATTTCAACGTTAAAGGCTTTCCAAAGAACATAACACAAGCAGCTTTCACTGAAGTACAATGCCTGGTAAAATTAGATTTAGATGTTAGTGATGATACATTTAGTACACTTAACATCATCTGTCATCTCAAGTACGAGTCAAAATAGCTAAAGAGCAAAACATCAAAATCAAACATTAAGAACATTATTCTTCAAGCTTAAAGCACTACCTGTTGGCCAGTGTTAAAACCCAACCGCATGCCGGATTTTCCAACGTAGTCAACTTCTCCAATGTCGGCAATGGTCACTGTATGATCCGGGAGGTCAAAAACTGTTGGATCCACCAGATGTTGGATTTCAGGGATGATCACCGCCTCCTGCCGCAAGCGACTCTTTTGTTGATCTCTGGCCTGTTGTATTGAAAACAAAAGTCAAAAAGAAAATTAAGAAGACCTGGATATTGTAAAATTGAGAGAGAGAGAGAGAGAGAGAGAGAGAGAGGGAGGGAGGGAGGGAGGGAGGGAGAGAGAGAGAGAGAGAGTGAAGGGACGCTATAATTATAATACAGCCATTAACTTGGACTTGGACAAGACTATGTTTTTAAAATTCAGAAAAATCAACTGTTTCATGATACAACAACTATATAATGCAAGAACAGTAAGCGTTACAGTGGTAATTAATCATAATTCGATTCTCATATCTTTTGACTGTCTCAGATATTACTGTTTTACTTATTTGAGTCACGGACTTCAGTCCTTATTGAAGTCTACTAGTACACAAATTTCCCAAGCTTTGAATAAATTCTGCAGATGACCAAAGAAACAGGAGTTTTTGACATCAACATACCTGCTTAAGGAGCTCCTTCCTTTCATCCATGACTTTTTTGTCATGCTTCTCTCTTGCCAGCTTTCGCCTTTCATTTTTCCGCTTTTGAAAACCTCGTAGATACTCACTGCCGAAAAGGAAACCAAATTTTAATCCAAGCTGAAAGATAAAACAGACTGTAACTTACAAAATCTAACTAGTTCTCACTCCCAGTTTTACTTTAACCCTATCCGTACATCGTGTTTTACTATCATATCCATATGACGTGGGGAACTTTCCAAAGAGGAAATTTACTCATTAATCCGATCCATACCCTTTGCATATAGCAGTCTATCAAAATGATTCTTTGAGAAATACTGAAAGTTTCAAAGATATCTAAGAAAAGAAGTATTCTAAAATGTGAAGAACACAACCCTGGGGGGTACAAAATGACCCCAGTGCGTAAGAATAGGGTTAAGCTTGCAAACTAACACATTTCAGACGGATGTCTCAAAAAGACAAAACAAAAATTAAAGAGATGCACTGAACCTCGCATACAATAAATTCAGACTCAACGAAAGGAGAAGGATTCTCTTTTACTTCTAATTCATAAAAAATCAATAAAATATGACGGTTCCCCGTATTCAAAGAACACTTAAACAAGCAAACTCGTCTCAATGAAGTTGCTTGCATAACTAACAACCCCAGCTGTTATAGCTCCATGCATTTAAGCATACTGAACGTGGATCATCAGCAGATGGGAAGTCTTGAATTTTTTTGCCAAGCTGCTAAATAGTCAGAAATAAATCTACATAATGAGCGGTGGGTAGGAGGTCTGTGGAACCAAACACCAGTCAAAACGTCAAAACTGGCCCTACTGAGTATTACGTAAAGTGCGGCAAACAATCTGTTATATGACACAAGACCTGTATTTGAGCAAAGTGTGCTTTTAAACAACTTGGGTTTTGGCCCATTATTTTGTTGTCTAAACAAGTCCAGCCTTAATCTATAACATGCTCAGAATAGCAGCAAAGTAAAGGAAACAATTCTTGGTTGGAATCAAACTGCTGCTTATTCAAGAAGTTGAAGACCAGGGGGAAAAGGTAGGTTTTGTGGAGGACACTACAGCGCACCTAGCTCCCTGCCAGCTTTTTTAAAAGAAAAGGAAATGATACGAGCATCCGTATACCAAAAAACACATTAACTAAAGCGTCAATGAAGATATGTACTTAAGTCGAGGACGTATGATGTCAAAGGACTTCCAAGTTCTCGTGTGGTTCATGAGAAATAACAGAATGTGACTTTTACACTAGCTCAGTCCTATTGGCCGGGCTGCGTCAAGGAAAGAAACCATTCATAAAACCACTTTGCGGCCCCAATAGTTCTTTTTCTTTATGCCAGCACTGCGACAATTCAGAACAAATTATGTCCCTATCGTCCATTAAAATATGCTCATATTATGTTAGTCCCATTTTTCTTTATAATAAAGTTAAGAAATACTTGATTCAACAAAATTGAAGTCTGCTCCTGACAACTTCGATATATGTGAGTTTCACAGTATCAGAAGCTACTTCAAAAGTTATGGAAATAGTATTTTCAGAAGGCCCTGCACAAGAATCCTAAAATACCAGTACAACTTTTCAAAACTAAAAACGGGAGGGTCAAGTTGGTTAGCACTGGCCAATTAATCCCCTCCAATGGAGATGTGATCACATTCATAAGAATATGATAAGAATGACTGATCTGTGATGCAACAGGCACTGATCACTGCTTAGTTGATAAGCGGTGCCCATCCAGGTTTTTGTTCTATAAATTATGATCCGAAACGCTGGATTTTAGTCTAATGTTATCCTACAGGACAGGATCTTGGGGGGGGGAGGGGACTTTTGTGGAGTAAAAATTTTGTTTTCTGAAAACAGCGGGATCTTATGGGAAGACCCCAGTCGGCGATCCCAGACAATATCGATAAATTTTTAAAAACTATTCAACTTTTGTTTTTTTGTGGAAAAACATCCGCAGACATCTGTTCTATCGGGTCACAATGAAGAAACTGTTGAAAAAAACACCCTAAATGACCCAAAAGGGCGTTTGAAAAGCGCAAATTGCACTAAAAATCCTTATAAAATTCCTCGATTATTCTGTCTTTCTCAAAATCTACTTTTTGACATATTATGTGACCTCCTTGGTGCAAGGAGTTTTCAAAAACTACTGATGCTAGAGGCTTTAAATTTCGCTTACAGATGCTTTCGGATCTATTCTGGGGATCTATGTGAGGGAATTGGGATTTACAGTCGAACCTGTGTAAGACGGCCACCCATTGTCAAGGAGAAAAGTGGCTGTATAACACAGGTGGCCGTCTTAGGCAGGACTGATCAAGATGAAGAAAACAAACCATTCCCATCTGAAGTCCCAATCGAAAGTAGCCGCCTTGTTGTTGTTTTTGTTGTTTTCGCTGGGTTTTTTCTCTTTTTTTCTTTTGTTGCTGCTTTTGTGCAAGGGTGACAATAAAACGAAATGTGTGAGATGAAGAGAACCGAGTGCTATGGTAAAACAAAAAAACGTGTCTCTACCATTCGGAGAACGAGCGACGCTTCTGTCGCAAGTTCATGTTGACGTCCTTTGTTACTTTGTTACAGACTGGATAAACAGTGACCACTCATCTCACTTACGATTTGTGTGTATGAGTTCTGGGCGGGACTTATGGGTTATGAGGGATCACACGCTTACCCCACCAGCAGATGAAAATTAATTCTGTTACCTTTTGGTCAACAGTGGGAGGGGCCTACGAAACATGATCGGTTTGAGGGACTACCTAACAACAACGACAGGTGATTAGATTAGGACGGGTCGCGCACAACGCCAGGGGCTAATGCTTGATTTATGACAAAACGTAATGGAGTCACTAAGGTGGTCGTCTAAGACAGGTGTTATTGCTTTGTGTGATAGGGGTTGTGTGTTAAAATACGGTGGCCACGGCCGCGTTGGACAGGTGCCGGTTTTACACAGTTAAATTATAGAGAAAAAACATAAGGGGGGAAATGGAAAGTGGCCGTTTGTACAGGTGGCCGTCTTATAGAGGTGGCCGTCAGGGCAGGTTCGACCGTATAGAGTTATGGGAAAATTTTTAAAATCATGAATGAAAACTAAGTAAATTACAGTAAAATCACACCAAAACAAAACCACTAAAAATCACAGTTTTAAATTCAGATAAAGATCATGATTGCATTTGACTTTTAAATGCCTTTATGACTAGCTCTTATTGATTGGATTTATATGAATGAATATGACTGTTGACAATAGGGCACTATAGAAAACAGTAAATAATATGACCAATTAGGTAAGCCATTTAAAATCATTTGAGATTCAAACCGAGTAGTTTACAGGCAGTGTAGTGATAAATAAAAACAAATCATGGTAAATAAAAACAAATTTTGAACTTGTATGAAAAAGAAATAATTAGGAGTGAAAACAACTTATGAACTTGTATGAAAAAAAAAAGAATGAATAACTAAAAACTGCTGTAAAGCAGTTAAACAGTGTGAGATTCTATGATTTAAATGAAAACAAGTTTTGAAAATACAGGTTTCCCCTACATGTATGTTATATATATTTTAAAAAAGACCTAATCAATCAGCATGTCATATTATGACTTATGACTAAATCAGAATATTGAATATGTTGCACACACAATATAGAAAAAGACCGGCTTACTTTTTGTCCCTTATGGGAAAAAACAAGTGATTTCAGAGAATAGTGCTGTCTTATCAGACGTCTATTTGTGAGTCACATCTCGTGCCACATCTCTCACATCTGCAGTCTTCTTTTTCATCCAGAGATTTTTTCAGACACTGCCGAGGTTTGGTTATCATTGCTGTGAGTGTGTTTGCAATAGCCATGACAAAATGGACACAATTGTCCAGCTGAGGAGAGTCTGACTGAAGCTTTGATGAGATATCAGACAAGTCTGACAGGATTTCTCCATACCCCCTGCCTTCCCACGAGTGTATCTTAAAAATTAAAAAATCAATAATTCCCCCCATTTACCCCCCCCATACTTCTCGGTGTTCAGACTTTGAATGAACTTTGGTGACCCCAACGACCAGTGCTCACACGATGCCGTATCTTGTGATTAAGTTGGGATACGAACGCGCAGGTTCATTGACCTACCACGTTGGTGAACCCAACAAGACGCTTGTATAACTTTCTTTTCTTCGTCGTTTTTCCCCCACAAGTGACAGCACAGGACAAATATTGATTCATTTTCATGGTGGCACATTTTTTAAAACCAAAAAACAAGGGCACAGCAAAAATTGCTGCGGTTGACCCTTCGATTCTAAGGGCATTATAGCAAATTGCAAAGGCACCAAGGCAAATTAACAAACAAAAATTATTCCCACCCCAATTTATAATGTATAATTTTCTTTATTTCCAACACTATAATAAAAACAAGTTATCCACTTACTGTTTTCTCAGGGTTTTTTTTACTTATGATCAAGTTTTACAGTTTTTCTAGTAGGCTAAGACAAGATCTAGTATTGTGCATGCTGAACATGATGTAATGAATTTGCACTATAAACGTCGAGAACAGATAGCCTAAGAGGAAACTGTTGGTCATAGTCATAGAGACGACGGACTAGCCCCGTGGCTTTCCAAGCGACCACTCCCGACCGTAAATTTATGCAGAATCATCCTCGAGAAACATTTTCTCTTATGATTCGTTGAACAAGTACGTTATAAGTTCTTCGAGCGCAGCTGATTAGGCTTACTTGGCTAATCTTTAATCCTATAGAGGCCTGTCTAGTGTTTTACGGCATTTACGCATGTCGCGCATCAGGCCTAGATCTAACTAAACTTTAGGCCTACACGCAGTCACTCAAACTCACACACCAGTCAGAAACCTTCTCTCAAAGATACATTTCCAGTGACCGATCAAAAAACATTTCAGTTTCCCCAATCTTTAATCCTATAGAGGCCTGTCTAGGGTTTTACGACGGCATTTACGCCCCAACATTTATCTGACCAGCCCTAGACCGAGACCTATGCGTCAGTGGAAAGTAGGGTGTGTAAACGCTGTCCATCACTCTCTTTGTACAGGTTGAGGAGCACTCTCACCAAATATCTGATTTTCTAGTAAATTCTAGGCTTGTCTTATGCAGGCTGTGCAGGTGGGCGTGAAAATTACCCCTTGCCAAGCTCAACTTTTAGAGGGAGTGACTGCGTTTGTACGTCTAAATTATATAGTAAAAAACCCATCAGATGACGAAAGCGTGCGTTTGAGCGGAGCGTGCTTTTGTATGGCGTGCGTTGCGGAGACTACTGTAGTTATTGATGTTTGATCTACCTCTCACCCTGGGTGAGACTTGCCAGCGTAGGCTATTCTCACCCGGTGTGAAACAAGACCTGTTTTTCCTCATTTTGGAATACTGTCTATCGGTGTGGATGATCAAATTGATAAACGAAGTGACTATTTCTCCGAACGTTAGGAGAAATAGTGCCGATCCTTATTTCTCCGAACGGTTTCCGGTCTCGTGATTTTTTGCCTATTTAATTGCGAGATTTCGGCGCCAACTTTCATTCTGCCTCTGGCCTCTGGTCTGGGAAGGAACACCGCAAGGCAAGCCCGCCTACAGACAACCTTCAGTAACACCTACCACACACCCACCACGATCATGCACATGTACACACACAAACTTATACACACACTAACTAAACATGACCAGTGGGCAACTTTTGAACATATGACGAGCTGAGCTGTGGATGGAGAGACAGTGTGAGTGAAAGGGCTGGTGAAAGGAAGAATGTGCGAGTGTATCCACAGGTGACAGCAACTACAAGACGACACCGACCTGGCCTGATCCACAGCTCACGAACAAAAGGAATGAGCTCAGGCAGTGTTTTGCCTATATTATTGTCCATGGTTCGCAGGGTGCAAGGGAATGAGTGAGGTTTTCTTTGTGTGTGCCTGGAGGGAGGGGGTGGGGTGTGAAAGTCATGCGGACGGGGGTGAGCCGCAGGAGAGAACACGGGAATTGAATGAATGAGTGAAACTGAAAGACATAAACGACTCATAAGCCCTGGAGTGAATGGATCCTGTGTTTCTATTTTTGTATACTTTGAACTGTTACTGAATAAAGGCTGAAATAAAGCCAGAAAAACAAACACACACACACACTCCTCACTCTCCACTTACTACCACATACATACACACACACACACACACAGGGGCAAATTTTTGGGTCTATATCTATTTCAATTTTCAAGAGCTAGTCTAGATCTAGATCTAGAGATTTTTAGATGAGTGTAAAAACATGAAAAAGAAAGAAATCAAAATTAGAACAGCCCACAAACATTAACAAATAAGGGCGTGTGTCCACCTGTCCGAAGAAGATTGGCTGTTTTAACCCTAAATGTGCGTAATTTTTTTTTAAAGTGCAGGATATTACATGTAAATTGTGGAATCACACACATTAAGGGGCTTGCCAGTGTCAGTACATTGGTCACAGCAGTGACAAACACAGATGCCAGTTCTATGTGTCGTTATCAATAACCCTCCGTAGATCTAGATCTAGACAGCACACGAATGAACACAACACATTACGTTTAAGAGCAGCACCCTTCATAGGCAACACGTCATATCTGTAGCGAAAAACTGTTTGGAATTGTAGCATTTCTTTATATAAATATTTACTGCGGACATTTTTTGGACCGATTGAACCATATTGTATACGAACAATCTTTGGTAGGCCTATACTATAATTATAGATCTATATAATATCCGAAATTTTGCGGGAAAGGATGAGATTTCACAGTGTTCGGAGAAATAATGCCCAGCTTTATTTTCCCGAACGTTCGGAGAAATAATAATAATGCCTAGCTTTATTCCCGAACGTTCGGAGAAATAGTGCCTAGCTTTATTTTCCCCAACGTTCGAAGAAATAGTGCTGGCCATTGATAAAAGCCAAGAAAAAATTACGTTATAGCATAAAAGTAAGCTAATTTGATCGTCTTCAAAGATGCTATGGCTGTTTCACTTTTCGAATCGAGCCGAACTACGCGGGTCGCCATTTTGTTTTGCCCGGAAGTTCTCGCAAGATCTACTCCTCCCCTCTCTCTCTCTCTTTCTGAATACTGTCTATCGGTGTGGACGATCAAATTGACCAAAACAAAGTTAAAAAATGATTTAAAACAAGAAAACTAAATTAATTTGGTTGTCTGCAAAGATGCTACAGCTATTTAACTTTCCGAATCAAGCCGAACTACGCGGGTCGCCATTTTGTTTGAAAGTGGCTATTCTCACCCGCCCGAAAGTTCTCGCAAGATCTACTCCTCCCCTCTTCTCTCTCTCTCTGTCTGAATACTGTCTATCGGTGTGGACGATCAAATTGACCAAAACAAAGTTAAAAAATGATGTTAAAACACAAATGTAAATTAATTTGGTTGTCTACAAAGATGCTACGGCTATTTAACTTTTCGAATCGAGCCGAACTACGCGGGTCGCCATTTGCCATTTTGTTTTGACCGGAAGTTCTCGCGCTACTCCTCTCTCTCTCTCTCTCTTTCTGAGACTTTCTCCACTGCCCACAGACAAAATTGTACGCTTTTACTTTTAGTAGGCTACAGTTGTATGGAACGTTTGTTCACGGCACAGAATTCTACAATTTTTCTGTTATCACAGTGTAGAATTCTGTGGTTTAGGGTGAACGCAAAATTTGTTGGCCTAGGTCTAGGCTATAACGGTGAACGCGCACCGGGTGAGAATAGCCAAAAGACTCGCCTGCACTATTCTCATCCCGGGTGAGAATAGAGGTGGCCTTCTACTTTCTCCACTGCCCACAGACAAAATTGCACACGCTTTTACTTTTGGGAATGTATACAGACCCGGTAACCGGGAACAAAGTCACAAAGTATACAGACCCGGTAGGGGAACTCTTTTGTGATTTCGGAAAGTTTCAGCACCCTCTTGGCTCAGGGTAGACCTAGGTTCTTCTAGTAGATCTATGGCCTAGGCTAGGTCTAGATCTAGACAGACAGACATAAATCCTTGGTCTAGTTTTGAGGCTAGCCTAGATCTAGATCTAAATGAAGATTGCGGATGTCTTTTCGATGAACGATCGTTTTTCCTCCGTTTTGGAGTTGGAGGAATTACAATTTGAAGAAAAAAACAATGTCATAATTTCTCTCGAGCAGTCATCCTCTCTATTTCTCTCTCGCTCTGTTGCTCGCCTTCTCTTTTTCTGTGTTTGTCTCTGTCTTTCTTTCTCCCCACCTATTTCCCACTAGACGTCTATATCTTTCTCTCGTTCCCTCCTGCCGACTGGGGCATGTCATACATTTTGCTAGCACTTCCCCCTGCTCTCTCTCTCTCTCTCTCACACACACACACGCACACACACTAATGGGTCTGGGCGCTGAAACTTTCCGAAATCACAAAAGAGTTCCCCTACCGGGTCTGTATACTTCGTGACTTTGGTAAATTTTTACTTTCACTCCCGCACACAGATGCACTGTTTCAGGGGTCAAACTGCTGTACTGTTTGCTGCAGATCACACATAAAGCCACTAAAACTGTCGCAAATCAATTATTTTCAAGACAATTTCAAATCTAACTGTAAAATATCATTATGGGTAAAAACAGGGGGGCATGCCCCCCTGTAACCCCCCAGATTTTCTTTTACCCCAGTGGGGCAGGCCCCCCTGGAACCCCCCGATTGGTCCAAAGCATGTCTATCTCGGTTAAAAACAATCAAATATTTCAAAAAAACTATTAATTTGCGACGGAAATGAAGTTGATATTCGTGTTCAGCGCATCAATATTTAGTAGAAAATAGACACTAGTAGCTGAGTGTGAGACGGGAGGGAAAGTAAAAAAATACCGTGACTTTGTTCCCGGTTACCGGGTCTGTATACACTTCGTTTACTTTAAGGCTAACACTAACAGTAGTAATAGATAAATCTATATCTAGTATTTAGATCTAGACTAGATATAGATATAGAATCTAGATATTAGATCTAGATCTAGATTCTAGATCTAGAATCTAGAACGTTTGTTCACAGCACAGAATTCTATAATTCTGTTATCACAGTGTAGAATTCTGTGGTTCAGGGTGAACGTTCCACTGGTTGGCCTAGGCTATAAGGTGAACGCCCACCGGGTGAGAATAGCCAAAAAAAGACTCGCCTGCGCTATTCTCACCTGGGCCGGGATGAGAATAGAGGTGGCCCATAAGTAGAATTCTAGATCTAACAAGTTAGCAAATTTATACCGTTTTTTCATATATTCTCACAATCACAAGCATTTCATATTGTAACTTACGATCTAGCTTTATCGTCAAATTCCAAAAACGATTTTGTCTTTCTATTTTTCGGCGTGTGTTTTCGCTTTCCAGTGGGGGCAGACATCTTGGTGTTGTTGAGAGAGTGAAAGTTGAACCAGGTTGAACCCACTGTAAATTAAAAACATGAAATAAAAGATATAAAATATAGATTTGCAGTTTACGATTCAAATAGATCTAGCATTGAGAAGGGTTGTTAAAAAAAAGACAAAAACTGAATGATATCTACCGTAATTTTTGTTTTCATATCATTTAAAACAAACAAATTTCTACAGAGAGTCTATATCAAATATTTCTTTATCATGTCCATGACGAAATATAGATCTAGATTTTCTAGATCAAGGCTCAACTCGATTCGGAAGAATTCGCTGGACTGAACAACTCAAAAACGTCACGTGATATTTCTCGTGATCATCCATCGTGTTCTACAAAAATAAACAAACCCAGGAAGACGTGAGAGGAATATAAAAATGATTTTGTTGTCTAATGCTATCGTTAAAATGTGACTATTTTTCCAAGGTTGTGTTTTTTAAAATTTCATATTAAAGTAGCCTATCAGACGGAAGTGTTGTCTTTCTTAGTTCCACTGGTATTATTTTGCCAAGTTTATTTACGGGTCTTCAAACTGACTTGATGAAGTGTTTTGTGAAGTGAAGTCTGCTACTTTAAGGCTAAGTGTAGTTGTTTACATTTAAAGAAAGAATAAGGACTAACTCCGGAAGCCCAACTGGGCCTGCTTGCCGGGTCTGGTAGTAGTGGTAGCCTGTTTCACCTAAATAAAGAGTGAAGAGAACAATTTAATCGAGCTTCAAATCATGGGGAAGGAGAATTAATCTGGATTCTAGATCTAGATATAGATATAGATCTAGATTCTAGATCTAGAGAATAATATTCTGAATATATATTCTTAATTTCCACTCATCACTTATAAACTTATTATGGATTAGCCCTGTCCAATAACTTTCAAATGAAACTCGGTAGGTAAACTTTACATAATCTAGATCTAGATTATATAGATCTAGAAACTAAATCTAGATTTCTAAGTATTTAATTGCCATTATAAGATCATTAGAATGAAATAGGGCCTAGATCTACAAGACTACAGTACAGCAAGTAGCCATTTATATTATTATTTATATCTAGATCTAGATCTAGATCTATACAACATTAGTTTTTAGTAGTATTTTAAAAGTTTTTTTTAGTAAGTTGTAAGATCTGAGCTGCTATGTTCAACAGTTGTCTTCACCTATTGAATAAAGGCCGGCTCTATTTCTCGGAACGCTTGGGAAAACAAACTATTGAAGTATCTGCAGACAACTAGATATTAAAAATTTCTAGATATATCTAAATCTAGATCTAGCTCTAGAAATTGAATTCGAGGCAAAAAAAATACTTCTTCCCAGTCCTCGCTGAATGGCAGATTGAAAGATGTCAAGATAACGCCGAACTCTCGCGAATAACCAACAAAACTCGAGAATGGAAACCGCTCGGAGAAATAGAGTTCAAGTTTATTTTCCTGAGCGTCCGGAGAAATAGTCACTTTGTTTTATTATTAAATACATTTTGTATTCTTGTGCTTACACTTTTATATCTTGGGACTTGGACTTCTGAATTCTGGTACTAGACTAGGCCTATTATTAATTAATATTACTGGGTGCTAGTCCACTAGATGGTCTGTCTACAGTACAGCTATTTTCTGTTCTACTTGACTGTCTACCACCAGATCAGTTTGTCAACTGTTCTGCTTGATGTCATTGTTTTCTGCAGAGTTTCACATCTTCTTATTTTCGCAGTGGCTACGTTCATGGCGCCCTGAACATAGTTGGCATGCTACATTCACATCACCCTGAATACAGTTTGCAGGCGCTGTTGAGGCTATGTTCACAGCACTAAAGCTTCATTTAGGGGAAGCGTTCACTGCCGGTTTAAGTCCGCCGGTTTTAGTCTGTGAGGACAGTGACATGTGTCATATTTTGGCCTGCTTCAAGCGTTCCATCCTATGAGATGAAGGAAAACGAAGCAGTGATCCTTGACCGATAGACCATTCGTCGTTTTCCCTTACACTGAGCTCTGGCTTAGAGCTCACCAGTGTAAGGAAAAACGACAAACTCTCAATTACGCAACAACTCCTTAGGATATATAATGACAAAAATGTATACGCCTACCAAGATGTTTCAATTGCCCGTTCTCACGTCCGAGCGAGATTTGGGTGCGACCTTAGCGCGTAATGGCCCGTGATAATAATATATGAGTGTAAACAAACATTCCAGCGCACTCAAGTTGAAATCGTGCAATTTTGTTTGCGGGCAGTGTTTGTGTGTGTGTGTGTGTGTGAGAGAGAGAGAGAGAGAGAGAGAGAAAAGGTGGGGGGGGGGAGAGAAAGAGAGAGAGGGGGGGGGAGAGAAAGAAGGAGGGAGAGACAGACAGACAGAGACAGAATAATAGAGAAGGTGGGGGGGAGAAAGAGAGAAGGAAAGAGAAAGGGGAGAAAGAGAGACAGATAGTTCTAGAAAGAGAGAGAGAAGGTGTTTGTTATGATATAATAAGAATTGATTCCCGTTATTTTCTCTCTGCGTCGGTTCCCAGGCTGACCCGGTGCAATACAGTCATTATTGTATACATTTTATGACCAGTCCCATCTTCTGAATCCCACCTTCTGTTTCCCATCTCTCGCCTCTTGTTTCCCATCATGTACCGTATCCGATTTTTCATATCCCATACCCCGACTTTAATTCTGTAGGGGCGCTTCGTTTCCCTTCATCTCATGGGATCGAACATTTGAAGCAGGCCAAAATATTAAATGTACGTCACTGACTAAAACCAGCTGACTTAAACCGGCAGTGGACGCTCCCCCTAAACGAAGCTTTAGTGCCGTTAACGTAGCCACAACAGCGCCTGTAAACTGCATTCAGAGCACAGTGTCCTTCTGCATTTTTACAGGCTCTGGCTGTCATTAGCCGCATTAGAAATTTTAGTCCTACAGAAAAGCACTGGCTGTTGACATTCCCGTTTGGTCACTTGCTTTTACGCGGCTTACTTCTCAACAATCAGCTTTAAAGGGGCAGGCAGCTGAAATTTGAGCCGATTTTTATCAATCATCAAAGGGAAAAATGTTGGGGTTTAAAAAAAATTTGATTTCTCTTTTATTTCTTGCCTCTGGAATCAACCCCAACAGCTCCAAATGATGGTAGTACACTATAAAATATTTTGAAGTGTTTTTTCTTTGTTACAGTTCCTTTTTGTGTTGCTAGTTTTCATGCTAAAACTTAACTGCTGATTTTCAAAGGGGATGGTGTCATAGAGTCAGTTCAGCTAAAAAAAACTATCATGTTTACAATAGCCTTTAAACTTTGCACATATCATGATAAGATGTAAATCTGGGTAACAGACTGTTTTTTTTCCCGTGATGACTTATCGAAAAAAATGAATTCAGGCCTCTCCGTTAAAAGAAATTGGTTAAAATTTAACCACCTTGATCTGAAATGCAGAAATTTCAAAATTCCATTAAAAATATAATAGATTATTTATTTTTTTTTAAAATAAAGCTGTCCGTTACCCAGATTTACACTAAAATGAATGTTCTACTGTCGCATTTATATCTTCCTAAGTGGTGAATAGTTTTTCAGCTGAACTTTTTCTACGTTTTGTGTTTATTTTCAAGATGGCCGCCATTACCATAGCAATGCAGACATTTAAACAATATTTTAAAATAGATTTTTCTTGTCCTTGCTATAATGAGTAATATAGAAAGTTTGTATTTATAAGTCGTAATAATAACAAAGTTATATATTTCACCCACCTTTTCCCTTAAGTTACCATGGCAAAATGATGTTCCACTCACCCACACATGCCAATGTAATCGCCACCGACTTTGATTTTATTGCATCCAGTGACTGTACCTACAGCAGACTATAGTCAATCCGACGGAACTTATAGTTAAATGCGGTAGACTGTGGTTAATCTGGTGGGACTTACAGTAGAATACAGTAGATCATGGTCAATCTAGCTGGACTTACATCGTACACAATTGACCTCCCTATCGCAATAGACTGTCTAGTAAACTGGCACCTACTACTGTTACTGTTGTAAAGTTGTGTTGGTGTTTTGGTTGTAATGGCTTTGAATTTCACCTTTTATTTTTATGAGAATCTTTGAACAAAGTACTTATGGAGTTGAGGGTAAATGTGAAGGGCATTAATAAGTTGAATGGTCATTTCAAATAATGTATGGTGGGGGAAGGATTTGATTTTTCTTTTTTGCTTTTCCATTTGTATTGATTGTTTTTGTTTTTTAAATGTTTTTGTGTTATATTAGAGTAAATCAATTGTGAGGAGAGTTTAACCTGTAACTATAAATGTATCTGTAGTAACCCTCTATTCTTTTAATACTTAATCTTACAGGTTACAAAGCTGAAAGTGCATTGGAATGCTGAGATTCAGTTACTTTGCAGCACTGGTGGTCGTCACCAGTGTCGCCCTCTCTTCTGATGCTCCTGAACTGTCATCACCATTGCCATCTGCGGGTTCGTCGACATCGACGACCCCAACAACAACATTATCGACAACAGTGTCCAGCATGACTACAAATGTGTCAGCGCCGACACCTGTCACTTTGGATCCTGGGCATAAAGGTATTATAATATATTACATATGAATAAAGTTGGGAAATGTGCATGCATGGTAGGTGTAAACTGTGAGACAAATCTTGCTGTCTCTTTGTTTCATTACATTTTTCCTGCTGTTATAATATCAGGTCTCGAAACTTTGTCTTCTTCCCTTGTGCCTTGAAATCTAATGATATTAGCAGGTTTGCTACCAAATTGTCTAAGTAGTTAAAAAAAATATTTGATCTTTGTCTTGCCATTTAGGAAGAAGATGACTTGTTTCTTCTTATTGTGATGTAAAGTAAGTTTTGTTTATATCTCTCTTTTATCCACAGTTTTCTCCGTTTGGCCATCTGCTCTTTTCTTTATTGTTTTTTGAATATATATATATTCATATATATATTTCATTTATATCTTTATATGAGAAAGGCTAAGGATGATTTAAGAAAGTATGGAGAGGGTTTGTGGCAGTGGAAACAGCATCATGGATAACAATATGTAAAAGGTTGTGGATTTTTTCAAGGAATCCTGTCTCTGGTTTCAAAAAGTGTCATAATAGTCATATATATCTTTACCATCTCATCAACATAAATGAAATGTTACTGTCGGTTTTGTTTTTCTATTTTCAGTGCAGTACATTATGGAGCTGCATAATTCAGGCCCGGCTGTCCTGGATTCCACCATTCACTTCTACGCAAGACTGTTCCCTATCTCTGTGAAAAAGTTAGATCCATGGCCAGTCAAGTATGTCTGTTTGTAATATGCTCCCTTCTGTAACTAAATGCAGTATAAGGAAATTGTGAAGGATTTGATTTATGTATTTTTTTAAACAGTCAAACTTATTCTAGGAATCACTTGCCTAAAACAGTCACCTGTACAAACCAATCTTCCTCCTTTGCATTTTTTGTCTAAGATAAACATTTTTCTCCTGACAATGGGGTGGTCCTCTTGGACTAGTTTGACTGTATTTATATAAGCATTTGGCTGATGGTGTACCTTAAATCACATGGTTAACTCATAAAAACATCACTACTTGTATGTATATATTTTAGCCTTTGTTTAAGATTAATACTTTTAGTAAAAACTGTCCTCGGCAATTGTAGGTTTGATGCGTTTTGTTTCTCTCTAATTTCTGGTTTGATTCAATAGATGGGTAAGAGTGTGATTGGTTATTCTCTCAACAACTTATACAAGCCTTCATAATATGAATTGTTTGTTTGTTTTATGGGTATATTGCTTTTTCTGTGAACAATGTTTTCAAAATGTAGACTTCTTTTGATTTCTCAAGCTTTTGCAAAATGTTTATCTTTCTATTTATTTTTCAGGTTTATATATCAGTGGATGAATATGGCTGACATGAGTGTTCACAAAACCCAGGGTCGTTTGGCCTCTGAGCTGTCCATGACATTCTCAAGCTCGGATCCCAGTATCAAATCAGGAGAGTTCCTTATTACCGTCGCTGCTTTTTTTAAGGATAACCCAACAAAGATGGCAGCTTTCCAGACAATGAAATTTGTGCTCACAGGTAAAAAGTGAAAAAAGTTGTCTTTGTTTTTCACAGAAAAGAAAGTCTGTAGACTGGAGAGCTGAAGTATCATCAGTAATGTGATTTGGCTTTTGGAATAGGTGAAAGATATTAACTTGCCATATCATCAATTCATATTTTATTGGTGCAGGTATTATATTTAGCTGAAAATACCTGAATGTAATGTGTTACATGCCCACTTTTTAGGCAATCATCAAGCTCAGGGGAATAAATCCACTGTATAAAACAAAAATCTTCTAAACCATGACTTCTGTGTGACTGCAAATGAAGGTGGAGTCTGCTAAAACAGAAAATGGTTAATCTGAAAGTAGTATTAAACTGAAAGAAAATATTTGTGATTGTTTTGTTTTTCTTCTATTTGAGCAAGCTCTCTAAACCCAAAATCCAGCTGAACCGAAGAAAATTCAGGGGTCTTATGGATTTCAGTTAAAGCAGGCTTCACTGTATAATGGATTGTAAAAAATCAAGTAGTTTTATTGTCACTGTTGTGGAACTCGCTTTACTTGCATATATATATATTAAAGCTCAGATCACGGCACACCGGCGGTGGAATTTTTGTTGCCGCGGGGGGTTCCCCGCCGCGCGCCTTATCATGTCGCGGTCACGGGGGTCAGCTCCCAGTCGCCGCTTTGTCTGGGCCGACTTGATTCTTGGTACTTTTCAATGTATAATTTTAGGTGTATCCTTGTATTTATGGTAATTCTCTTTTAGTGCACCCTAAGCATGCGTTTCTGCTCTTGAGACTCAAAAAAGAACAGACGTTGTAACTTGTCTGGTTATTTCGTTAGACGCCTTGAAGTCGGCAATGCTAAATATTGTAATTTTTTTTGGACTAGCATGAATGAAAAAAAATCAATATAAAAGACAAAATCTGTCGAACTTTTGGAACATGAACGACATAGCATTGGTGCAGATACTCTGAAAAGATGGTATCTGCGCATATAATAGAAAGCTGTAATTTTGCAACTTTATTCATCGGGCACACAATTCGCTATGAAGAGTAATTCCTCCAAATACAACTTTATGTGTCTTATATAGTCGTGAATATTCGCATATTTTCTCAAAGTTTATAAAAGTTACTGTGAAGTTTCTCTATGAAAAGTACAAATCGATTTTAGTGCCAGAATACATCTTCAGTGTAATACACCAACAGTATTTGTTACACTCCAGAAATTCCTTACTTTTCTTAAAACGCTAAGTCTAGGTTTTGTAAGTTGACTGAATAATAGGGATCATCATCACCATCATCATTGCCTTTCTCCCCCTGCATCAGGGTATAGGCCACGGACAAACACCCCCCACTTTTCTCTATCCTGGGCTAGCCTCTTGATGTTATTCCATGTCTTCCCACTTTTCTGTACATCGCTTTCTGTGATTCTTCTCCAAGTTCCACGAGGTCTTCCCCTTGATCTCTTGCCCTGTGGGTTCCAATCCAAAACTTTCTTTGTTATGCAGCTGCCTGACTTCCAGAGAGTGTGTCCAATCCATCGCCACCGCCTTCTTCCTACCTCATCTCTGACTGGGATCTGTCTTGTTTTCCTTAACACTTGAATAATAGGGATGACATCTCGTAATTGGGTTATAAGAATAATTTCTAGCTTTCCAGGGACACTGAATCAGCACCAGACTTTTCCAGCTTTATTTTTCGTTTCTATAATGACCATTTGCAATAACTGACAATGTGACCGATTTCTTTACATTCATAATTGTGTCCGCGCATATTTCCGACACAAAAACTAAGAATGAATGTGTTAGCTGTCAATATATTTTTTATTCCATACAAGAAGTTTATCTGTACCCTTGTATTTACACGGTTTGTGGGGGTTTTTAATCGCTTATATTATATCTTTTTAATTGTATACAGGCTGGCACAGACACAGCATGATTCATGAACAAATGCAGAGTAATTTTCTCTTGTTTAATAGTAAAATAAGAGCTAACGCTGATCGTCTTTAGTTAAAAAATGCAGATGTGCATTTTTCTTCTCTTATAACTTGACTATTACTACTCGCGCAGATTTCAGATTTCTCAAGGTAAAAGACATGATATTCGTAATCAGTTTAACATAGATTTTGGAGAGATCTGTCGTGCCTTTTTTAAATTAACAATCATTTATTCATAAGTTTGTAACTGAAGTAGGACAAATTGAGAGCTTTCAGTACATCCGCGTAATGGTTTTCTGTGTGGGATGGGGAAGAAGTGATATCGTTTTGAACATAGTAAAAAATGTGAACTTCCTAACCGACACCGGCAAAGTCGCTTCAGGGCTCATTAACCCCTTGACCCCGAGCCGGGGAGTTCCGGCAGGCTGCTGAGTCACGCTAACTAAAAGTAAAAGAATCGGGCAAAAAGTGACGCCGTGTGATAGGTTCTTCTGACACCTGGAAGAATTCTGTGGGGAAATTGGAAATATAGAAAAATCTGACAGATTGGAGACAAAAAAATGTAGAGGTCAGAAGAAAACCAGGGAGGACCTTTACCCAATATGTAATACCTGACCAAAACTTTCTTGTTCTTCCTCAGAGAGACTGAATGGTGGTTTGTTGCTGGAGCAGTATGTGGATTATCGAAGATTTCCCAATGTGTTCAAAACAGGAGCGCCTGTCACATTGATTGCTGAAGTCCATGATGACTTTACTGTCTCACAACAACCATCGTACCTCTTTTTTTGGTATGAGGGACCTCAGTTTGTAAACTCCTCCAACCTCCCGATCTTTACGACCACCATTGGATTAGCAACTAATTTCACCATGGAAGCTGTGATCCTTGCTACTTTTGACTACACCCCAACAACAAATGAACAGAAAAAGCGGTCAACAAAACCATTGCAAGTCATCACTGAAGGCAAGCTAGATCTTATGAAGCAACCTTATGTTAAAAATGGACACTTCAAAGAAGCAATCTTCTTCAAGGGTGAGTACAGGTTCTTCATTATATGAAAAGAGATTGTTGGCAATGAAAATACTTGTATGCTTTTTATGTTCTGACACAGTCTTAGTTCTTTTTTTTTTCTGCTATTCTTCCCCTCCCTTGGACTCTCACTTTCTTCCATTTTCTCCTGTTCCTTGTCCTGTTAATATGGTCTCCTCTGCTTCACGTTCTTTTTGTTGGTGATCAACAGGTGCTCAGATGTGGTTTGCTCTTTCTTTCCTATCAAAAACCTATCATCCCAATCTCTCCTTTTTTGTGTTTGTTTCTCTTTTGTAATACCTCTAGTCTTCCTCTCTTATATGATGTAATTGTGATGCAAGTGCGGTAAAACTCTTACTTATACAAACATTAAAAATCCTTCATTCTCTCAATGGTAGGTTGGTGAGCACTGTGATGAAGTTTGCTCTTCTACTTCTTTTCAATATTTGTGATGTCATAATCTGATCATGACAAAATATGGCCATTATCTAGCCTGAAATAGCGGTACTTGTTATATATATTTTTTACAGTGCCTCACTTGGTATGGCTTCACATTGCGGAAATATTTTCTTGAACCAAAAAATGTGTGCCATTGATACCATGTGCTTTTGTAAGTGTTTCATAATACGTGTTGCATGTCTGTCCTTTTTTTATCTGTCTGTTTCCCTGATCTGTGTATCTTTGTTGTCGGAAGGATGTGTCCATCTGTATTTTGCGAGTATGTCTGTGTATGTGTGTTTTTGTGTGTTGTGTGTGTCAGTCATTGAGGTATTGAAACTTTGTGGGGGGGTTTTTGTGTGGGTGAATATATTGTGTGTGTGAGTGTGTGTATGTGTGCGTGTGTGTGTGTGTGTGTGTGTGCGTGTGTGTGTGTGTGTGTGTGTGTGTGTGTGAATGAGCCCACATAAGCAAGTGTGCCTGTGTTATGTGTTGTGTTTGTGTGTTTGCGTATGAGAGTGAGGGAAAGAGGGGGAGAAAATGTTCACTTACTAAAAAGCTAAAGAACCAGAAGTTGAGGAAGGAAACAAATGCAATTTAAGTACAATGTAGTTACATAGTAAGGAGAAAGAAGTATATGTGCTCTTTGATGAGCAGGAAACAGGTGCTGGAGAGACCTGTAAATATGGGAGTTTATTAAGAGTCAAGTTACAAGACTTGAAGCCAAGGACTGTGGGTGGTTGACGGGTGCTCTTTTGTGGTTTGCTTCTTCTTTCCTATCATAAATCTATCACCTTTATGTCTCTTCCTCTTTTTTTTGTTTGTTGCTCTCTAGTAAAACCTCTAATCTTGGGCACTTATATGACCTAAATGTGTGTTGCAAGTGCCGTAAAACGCTTACTAAAACAAGAAACCAGGGACCAAACCCTCCTTTGCTAAAAGAATGTACTAATAGGGGCTTGTTCCTCACGCCAAAGAGCTTGGTGCACTAGCTGGTTTCTCCTCGCTTGCTTGTGAATAATTTAAATAACTTTTTTTTCACACTTCTGATCCTGGAACTGGTGAGATGGAGCATTTATTCATCTCGGATTTGGACTTTTTTTTTAATGAAAAAAGACCCAACAAAGTTGAAAGTCATGGGTGGTTGATGGGTGCACTGGTGTGTTTTTCTCCTTCTAATTTTTCCTATCAGACATCTGTCGTCCTTATCTCTCCCCCTTTTTTGTGTGTTTGTTACTCCATTGTAACACCTCTTATCTACAGCTTTTTATGTGACCTGATTGTGTTGCAAGTGCCGTAAAATTTTGACTAAAACATAAAATAACAATACTTGGAAGTCCAACACTGTGCAAGTTTAAGACACCTTGAAAGTTGGGATTGAAAGAAAAGGGAGATCAATGTTTGTTGTGCAACTGTTTGTCTCTTCTGACGAAAATGTTTTCATTCCGAATTCCCATTTGAAAGTTGTGGTTGCTATTTTGAAAAAAATATGTAATCTGTCTCTGTCTACAAGCGGGTGTTTGAGGGGTACCACTGGTAGATCCTACTTCTGTACTTTCCCTCTGTTGTTTCTGTCTGTCTGTCTTACTTCTTCCTGTCTGACTTTTTCCCTGCGCTAAATGATCATCAACGTTTTGATGTGCTTCCCTTTACTGTGGGTGGTTGGCGGGTGCTCTGGTGTAGTTTGCTTCTACTTCTTTCCTATCAAACATCTATCGTCCTTATGTCCCCTTCTTCTTTTATGTTTGTTACTCAAACAATCTGTCTACGAGGACTTTGTATCCCTGTCAGCTAGAGTTGACGTGACAGCCATTTAGAATCATCATTATAAATAATATTCTCCTTTCTCTCTGTGGAAGAAGAAAGAAAAAAAGAGAGGAAACAATAGAAAGAATTCAAAGAAGAAGAAACAAAAGAAAGAAGAAGACGAAGAAGGAAACCAATAAAGGTTAAGAAGAAAGAAAAAAGAAAGAAGAGGATGTGGGTGGTTGGCGGGTGCTCTGGTGTGGTTTGCTTCTTCTTTCCTTTGAAACATCTATCATCCTTATCTCCCCTTCTTCTTTTTTATGTTACTTTCTTGTAACACCTCTAATCTTCTGGCGCTCATATGACCTTATATTTATGCAGTTGCGAGCGCCGTAAAACCTCTACTAAAACTAAAAACTAAAAGAAGAGGATGGAGACGAAAACAGAAGGATAAGAAGAAGAAAAAAGATGGAAAAAAAAGATAAAAAGATAGAAACAAAAAGATAAAGAAGAAAACAGAAGAATGACATGAAGAGAAAAAAAAGTAGATGGTGAAGGAAGAAAACGGCCTTGAACATTTTAATGTACATGTATGTGTGTGTGTGGGAGGGGGGGAGGTGATGCTAATCATCAGGAATATTTTTTTGTGACTTTTGATCATGTACTAACTCGTGACGTTTCTTATCTCCCATCTGTTGTTGTGGTCTGTTGTTTGGATTTTCACATCGGGCGGACGCTGGGAATACTCGCCTCCATTGGCTTTTGTTTTGTTTGTCTCCAAACCAGACGTCAAACACTTTTTTCTTACTCTTTGTTTGTTTGTTTGTTTTGTTTTGATACATGTTTTACGGCGCTCGCAGCTGTGTGAGGTCACATGAGCGTGCGGGACACATTAAACATTTTTAGTTTGGTTGGATTTTTTGTTTTTAAATTTTGCCTGGGTGACGGGCGAAGTCTACTGTCATTGATTTTGAACCACCATGGGATCTTTAACGTGCGCAACATTCACACGGGACCTCCGAGATTTTTCGCCCTTGTGTTAGATCTTACCTGTTCTAAGATTAGGGGTGTGGTTGAAAGACAGCAGTACGGTTAGAAGGAGCCAAGAAGTTGCAGTAGAAAGACTGCAGAAAGAGTCTGGGGCCCAGAGGAGGGGACAAAGGGGGATGGTGGTATGGGGGCATAAAGTGGAGACAAGAGTAGATGACAGAACATGGTTAGAAGGCAGGAAAGTAGGTGAAAGGAGAACATTTTAAAGAAGAAACGTTTCTGTTGTTGTCAGGCTTCGAACTTGGCACCAATTGATTGAGAGGCGAACACCGTACCATCTAGACCACGGGAGCCCCTTTCTTCTCGCTATATCTTGTTTTTTTATTTGTCTCAGTCTGGTTTTTAACGAATAAATAAATAAATAAAATGAGGGTCCAAAATTGTCCTTAAGCATTATGCTCGAATTGAAATGATAATGGTGTTATTAACATTGCAATTAGAACGCGATTAATGATGTTACAGAGGTATATGATATAATGTCACGTTCGTATGTTATAGCGAGTGCGGCTGTTTGGAGGGCCTGAGAGGGGAGGGCGCAACTAGTAGGATATATTCTTTATTTTCCTTCTTCTTTTTTCCTATCAAACATCTATCGTCATTATCTGCCATTTTTCTTGTTTATGTTTGTTACTCTCTTGTAACACCTCTAATCTTTTGGCACTCATATCACCTTCTTCTGTTGCCAGCGCGCGTAAAACCTCTACTAAAACTACTAAACTTTCCCTCTGTTGTTTGTCTTACTTTTCCCCCAGCACTGGGTGACCATTATTGCGTCGATGTGCTTCTCAGAATCTCTTTAGGCTCAACTGCTTGGTCCTACTTTTTTACACTTCCTCCCCCCCCCCCCTTGTTGTTACTGTCCACCTGTCTTACTTTCTCCCTGCACCAAATGACCTTTATTGTGTCGGTGTGCTTCTCTTTACCCAGACAAACCTGACTATAGTCCTATTCCATTAAGTAAAGGTAATGATTATAAGTGCATGAATGTATATATATTGTGTTACACCCCCATCGACGGTATGGGCATAAAAGCAGCACTTAAACAAAAAGTGAGGATACCCCCCCCCCCCCAAACCCTCTCCGGGCTTCCCGTTAGCTCAGTTAGTTCATGCTAGACTGCGGAGCGGACAACCCTGGTTCGAATCCAAGACTGGGCGTCCTTGAACTTGCGTCGTTTTGTGGAGTTTTCATGGTTGTGGACTCATTTGGCTCAGTCTTATCGGAGACAGACGTTTAAGTCAAAGGTCCCGCCTCTTAAATAACCCAATAAGGTCGGTGGGTCGTTAAACCCGTACACACATATATTTACAAACTATTCCGATGGCGAGTAGTTGGAGGGCGCCACTGGCAGGTCCTACTTCTTTTACCTTCCCTTTGGTGTTTCTGTCTGTCTTACTTTTTCCCAGCACTGAAACGCCATTATTGTATCGATGTGCTTTTTTAATATTCTAATATACATAAATAAACCAACTATTCCGAGGGCCCACCAACAATGCGCCCAGGAACTACAAGTGCCACAACGAACAAGAAGAGTTGTTCAGTCGAGTGGGAGTGTTTTCAAATCTTATCATGATGGAGTTGTACGTGCCGCGACTTCCCACTCATTTAAGTTATGAACACCAATACATTTAATCTTTCACCTTGTACATTGACAGTTTGAGACAGCGGATGGCCAAAGAAGATAGGATATCCTCTGCATCTCACTAGCTGTTACTGTTATCTTTGGCTTGTTTGATTACCTTCGCTAGGCTCGTCAGCGCCATCCTTGA